GCCACAAGCAACACAGGACAACCCATGTGAGCCCAAGAAGAAAGCGCATCTATATAGCGAATCTCTCACCTTTTCTCGTTGGTCCAGGATGTGTGTGGCTGACCGTTGCCGTCATACGAGCAGTATCTGCAAAATCTTTGGCAGGTATGCTGCTGATCAGATGATTTAATGTTTTTTCAATACTTCTCAAAGGCTGTTTGATACCATGCTGGACGACCTAAGGGAAGAACTGTCAGACAAATCCAGAAGTCTTCTTTACATGCTTGAATGGGACTGCAGCAATGGCACTCTCCATAGGGGAAACAAAGAGGAGAAGTCATGTTTTAAGGTCTAACATAGGTAGTTTGTACTATTATAATTGCTTATGTTTTATTTCCATTTCCCTTAAAATACCAGGTATTGTTTACTGTCATAAACATTTATAGAGTAAGCAATGCACTTTTCTTCTATATTATCTCCTTTTGGTTCTTACCAAATATTCAATGACCACATAAGACAGGTTTAACTACCCCCCATTTTAGAGAAGAAGGAGGACTAGGAATAAGAGGGTAACAAATCTGCAACCGAACTAAGTCTCTAGCCTAATTCTCATCCAACTTATTTACACTATCCCTAAACCTGAGTTGATGAATAGCTTCTTATTCCATCTGGCAATTCTTTTTTTTTTTGAGACAGAGTCTCAGTTTGGTCATCCAGGCTGGAGTGCAGTGGCGCGGATCTCGGCTCACTGCAACCTCCACCCTCCAGGTCCAAGCCAGTTCTCCTGCCTCAGGCTCCCGAGTAGCTGGGATTTTACAGGCACCCACCACACCCAGACATGGTTTTTGTATTTTTTAGTAGAGAGTTGGCGATTTCCACCATGTTGGGCCAGGGCTGGGTCGTCGAATTCTGGGACCTCAGGTGATCCGACCCAGCCTCAGCCTCCAAAGTGCTGGATCTTATAGCGGCATGAGTCACACCGCACTGGATTCGTAGTGAGTGGGTTAGTTCTCTGTTTCTTAGGAATCCAAGTCAAATGCTTGAGCTGATATTTCTTAGATTTTAATTCCAAGAGCCTAGAAGTATAAGGTATCTTCCAACTCTCATTTCTCCAGGATGGCTGGAAAATGAATAGACCACTGTTACCATCAGCACTGTTATTTTGAGAGTTGCCTGGAAGCCTTTAAAAAGTAGAGATGCTTACCAACAATAAGTGCAGTGTTTTGAATAAATATAAATAGTAAGATGGGGCAAAACAAACCAGCTGGCCAACTGCCAAAAGGTGCTCAGGAAGCGTGTTCTAATTATATTCAAAACAATTTATGTTTTGTTGAAATAGATCCGTGGACATGAGTGAACTCGTTGGAGTTTAGGGAAATAGTCCATAATCTTTTTTTTTTTTAGACAGAGTCTCGCTCTGTTGCCCAGGCTGGAGTGCAGTGGCATGATCCCAGCTCACTGCAACTTCCGCCTCCCAGGTTCAAGTGATTCTCCCGCCTCAGCTTCCTGTGCAGTCCTCAGCTGGGGGTACAGGCGCCCGCCACCACGCCCGACTCATTTTTGTATTTTTAGTAGAGACGGGGTTTCACCATGTTGGCCAGGCCAGTCTCGAACTCCTGACCTCAGGTGATCCGCCCACCTCGGCCTCCAAAAGTGCTGGAATTACAGGCATGAGCCACCGTGCCCGGCCTCATAATATCTTATGGACTGAAGGCTTCTGGGAGAAAATGCAACTTGAAGTAGAGCTCCAGACTCAGATTTCTGCTGTTGACTCTCGGTTAATTCCAAATAGGCACAGTTTTAATTTGGCCAAAATTTATTTCATTTGATTTCTAGATATGCCCAGTGAACTGCCTGTCAAATATGATCATGATAAGTGAAAATTGACTGCCAAAATTTTAGGCTGCTGGTTTGGGCTATGCATGGATGTGAATCTGTTTTAGCAATGAAATTATATTCTCTGATAACCAAGATGCAGAGATTTAGAACACTTCTTCCATTTTGGTAGTCACATTTTGTTTTTCTCGTTCTTTCATTCATTTCTTCAGTAAATATTAATTGAGCCTCTACTATGTGTCAGGTACTGTACTAAGCACTGGGAATAGTCAGCAAAGCACACAGACATTTATATTCTTTTATTTGTTCATTAAGTACTTATTGAGCACCTACTGTGTGCCAGACATTGTTCCAGGGAAGGAGTGAGACATGTGAGGACTCAGTATATGGGGAGAAAAAGAATGAATGAATGAATAAATAAATAAATAAATAAATATACACATAATTAAAATAATGTCAGAGGGAAGTACATTCTGGAAGGAAAATAAAATGAGGAGACCCTTCTGCAGGGTCCTGAGGCTCATTCTCGGTGTAACTCTCTCCTGTCAGTACTCTGCCCTGTGAGTTCTAGCTGCCTTTGCCTCTGCAAGTTGCCCAGCTCTGTCTCTTTATCTTGGGGTCAGTGGACTCTGCCTGGGCTCTTGCTTCCTGCACTGAGGCCTGAAAACTCTCCAGGCAGTAAGTTAGGGAAATCACAAGGCTCATTTCCTTTGCTTTCCGCCTCTCAGGGATCACTGTTCTCTACTGCCTGATGTCCAACGTCTGAAAATTATTGTTTATATATTTTGTTTACTTCCTTAGTTGCTTAAGAGAGGAGGGTAAATCCAGTCCCTTTTACTCCATCTTGGTTGGAAGTGCAAAACCACTATAATGGAGCAGGCAAAACAGTCCTCAGACTAACACAGGACTGGAAATAGCCTACATCCCCAACAGCCACAGTAGAAATCCTGTAATACACAATACACCGGGGGAGAGTCTTTGGAAGATGTTGCCTCAGTCAGGGATCCAAATTAGCACTAGAATAGAGGCTGCTGTGGGCTCACTTTAAAAGGTCAAACGTTTTTCAAGTTTGATCCCAGAACAAAGCCCACAATTTTAAATGATTTAAGTGAAAATAAATTTCACAATGTCTGACATGCAGTCAGGCATTACCAGGCATACAAAGTAGGAGGAAAATTTTACCCATAATAAAGAGAAAGGGCAATCAACAGAAGCAGATCCAGAAATGACACAGATAATAGAATTAGACAAGGAGCCTGATGCCACCACTTTGGGAAGCCAGGGTGGGAGGATCACTGGAGGCCAGGAGTTTGAGACCAGCCTGGACAACATAGCAAGACCCTATTTTTGCAAAAAGTAAAAAATTAACCAGGCACAGTAGCACACACCTGTACTCAGGAAGCTAAGGTGAGAGGATCACTTGATCCCAGGAAATTGAGGCTGTAGTAGGCCAAGATCAAACTACTGCATTCCATCATGGGCAACAGAGTGAGACTCTGCCTCTAAAAAAAAAAAAAAAAAAAAAAAATTAGACAAGGACATTAAAATAGCTATTATAAAAACACTCCATATATTAGAGAAAGTAGAAGAAATCATGAGCATGTTAAGGAGAGACATGGAAGATGTGCAAAATTTAATGTAAGATGAGGAAATATTATAGAAAGTGACTAGTGTGGGGGTGGATAGGTGCTTCATTTACTAGGATGGTGAGGGTCCTCTATAAAAAGGTGATCTTTGAGCTTACACCTCACCATGAGAAGAACATTTCAGGCAAAGAAAATGACTAGTGCAAAATCCCTGGTTGGGAATGGTCTTGACATGTTGTAAGAATAGACAAGGCTGTGGTGGCTAGAGCACCAGGAGCAGGAAGAGTCATGTAAGGTGAGGATGAAGAGGTAGGTCGTATGGGCTCTGTAGGACCTTGTAGGCTATGACGAGGGGGTGAATTTACTTCTAAAGATAACGGAAACTGCTGAGAGGCTCGAAGCAGGTGAGTGATAAGGACTGTGTAGTGTTTTAAAAATACTGCTTTGGTGGCTTTGTGGAAAAGGGACTATGGGAGGCCAAGAATGGAAGCAGAAAAGAGGTCTTAGAAAGTTCTTTCTCTGTTAAATGAGAGCATAATAAGGGCCACGGGAAGAATTAAGTGAGAACCTGTTTATGCCTTGTAGCAAGTGATAGTGACTTTATCTGTATATGAATATATTAAATTTTGAAAGGTTTGCCTGTGTAGTGCCTTCACATTTTTGTTAACTTAGAAGTTACTTAGTAATACAGCCTCCCTCCCAAGTCAATAATCAGTAACTCAAAGGATCATTTATGCAATATCACAGTTCATTAGTTAATGAGATTTTAAGCTTGTTGACAGATATGAGCTTTCTTACATTTTCCTTTGAAATTCTTGGACCCATCCAAGGAATTCCTTAGTGAATTATTGCACAGTAGTTTTGCTTAAGTGAGTTAATGTTCTACATTTATGTGCTTCAGCTCAGTTATATATTTACTTTTTTGTGTCTTTCCTTCAGGGCATTGATCGGCATTGAAAGATACTTGAAAATTGTTGGTTTTGGGTTTTTTTTTTACATTTAAGCAACAATGTAACTTGTAAACACACACAAACTCAATCATATTGACTGTTCCTCTAGGAATTAAAGTGTATGATTGCTCATTTTCAGGGTTTTTCTCTAGTTTATTCAACAATTATTGAGTAAATTGGGCAGCTGGCGCTTTAGTTACAGAAATGAATAGAACATGCAGATTGTACCCGATGGGAAGGGTGGTTGGTGGGAATGGGAGACAGGTGGGGAGTGTCTATTTGATACCATGTTTGCAGTTGTGAGCTTCATATTTCCTCCAGATACCATGTTTTTTCAAATATCAGGGATGATTTTTATCTTTCACTAAACTTGATGCAGCTGATAAAAATATTGCTAGTTGAAGCAGAGCAGAATGACTTGTAACTACATCACCTGTGCTTGCTTACTGTCAATTCCTTTGTGACTTGTATAATAAGATAATAAGCTAAAAGTAGACCATATGTGAGATACCGTGATTCCTCAGGCTTGCTCAGCAAACTAATGACATCCTTGTTCATATTTACTTGAATTTAAAATGTGCTATATCAGATTCAAATACTTCTGTTGGTCAGACTATCAGATTTTCATGATACGTAATTTTCCTATTAGTTTTCTTCATGTTATCTTGGCCATAAGACTTGATATTCACTGTATGAGAGCATTTGTGTTGTCTTTATAAATTGCAAGGTGACTTTTAGGTTTTAACGTAGGTAATTAAGGTGATATATAAAAATAAATTATCACTTTTATGTCTAGAGCCCACAGTTTCCTAATCAAGTGGGAAAACGAGCAGGGGTTGAATCTTCTCCCCCTTTTTTTTTTTTTTTTAAACTTTCTGTGCTAGGGAAAAATCCCTCTGAGGCCCTTGTCTCTCCTCTGCTTGGCCTAAAGCTCTTCATTCTTTAGTACCCAGTAGAAATCTGCCTATTCCATGAAGCTCTGTCCTGAAATTTGTAGTAATTCCTCCTACTGAAATATCTTTGGGCCAGGCGCAGTGGCTCACGCCTGCAGTCCGAGCACTTTGGGAGGTCGAGACTGGTGGATCACCTGAGATGGGAAGTTCGAGACCAGCCTGACCAACATGGAGAAACCCTGTCTCTACCAGAAATACAAAATGAGCCGGGCATAGTGGCACATGCCTGTAATCCCTGCTACTCGGGAGGCTGAGGCAGGAGAATCACTTGAACCCAGGAGGCGTAGGTTGCAGTGATCCCAGATTGTGTCATTGCAGTTCATTCTGGGCAACAAGAGTGAAACTGCATCTCAAAAAAAAAAAAGAAAGAAAGAAAGAAAAAAGAAATGTCTTTGGCATTTTCAGTCTCTTACATACATTCAATAAATTTGCCTTTAATAAGATTTTCAGTTGAATTGAGGTCACGACCGTGGCTGGCATGCCACTGGAGCCATTAGTAGGGACTCAATAAATTGTCCTATTCTGAGCCTGAACAAATTGGCTGTGAATTTGTGATTGTATAACTCACAGGGAAGGAGATGCCAGTGGAAGTAGCAGTGTTCGTTATTTTAAAGGTTTGCTTTTACTTCACACTCATTCCAGCCTCTATGCCTCTAAACAGACAAATCATATTTCTTTCTAAATTGCATTTTTCTTTGAACTATGTATGCTGAAATCTTCCTATCCCTTGATTCAGTCACCTCATCCTCTTGCTGTACAAAGTATTTCACTGTATGGAAAAGTCATAAATTCCTTAACTAGTCCCCTAGGCTAATTTTAACAAGAATAATTTATAACTTCTAGTCTTATAAAAAGTAAAATAGTAAGTATGAAAATACATAGAAAAATGACTTTCATTTGAAATGAAGATTTAATTTTTCCCCCCTAATATAAGGCATTATGTTGGGGAAAAAAAGAAAAAAAAATTTTTTTGCTTTGTTTAGAATTCTCTATTCGTGGGAAGAAATCAGGATTTTACTTGAATAAAACAGTAAAACAATATAGACTACAAAACAACTATTCCAGTTGTAATAATGTTTTTTCTTAAGGATAACTAGTGTGACTACTAGGCAGTGATATTGTTTTAAGACTCTGCTTTCTTTTCTTGTTCAATGAGAAAAGTAAGACAATTTGCTTGGTTGGTGTTCCCATATAAATCAAGTCAACAGATTTAGTAATAGGATTTCCAGTTTAATTCTTAGCCACCTGAGTAAGAGTGCCTCTCTGAGGAATCAGGGATAAAAATGATGTATATGTATTTTTTAAACAGAAGATCTTTGTTTTACAGATACAGCTGAGATTTATTAATCCATTGAAAAATTTAAGACGTCTTGGAATCAAAATGGTAACTGATATCTTTTTGGACTGGGAATCATATCAGTTTAGAACAGAAGAAATTGATGCTGTGTTTCATGGTGCAGTTTGGCCCCAGGTAAATCTCAATTTCTACATCTGCCTGTATGCCTTCTGCTTTTTCCTTTATTACTAACTCACCAACATAGCTACCACCCAGACATGAATGCTTACCTGGGTCTTTTCTTTTACATCGAGCCCTTCTTTCTGGAAGTTTTTAGAACACTTTTCTTTGCCTTCACTACCGCCTAAAACTCAAGAGTTAGTTTCTGCTATACCATAGCATTTACACTTAAGGCTCAACTGATATGAATGTGTCTCTTAACAACTGTAACATTACTTTTTTTTTGAGACAGAGTCTCGCTTACTGCAACCTCTGCCTCCTGAGTTCAAGAAAGAGATTCTCCTGCCTCAGCCTCCCAGGTAGCTGGAATTACAGGCATGCACCACAATGCCCAGCTAATTTTTGTATTTTTAGTAGAGATGGAGTTTCGCCTCGTTGGCCAGGCTGGTCTTGAACTCCTGACCTTAGGTGATCCATCTGCCTCGGCCTCCCAAAGTGCTGGGATTACAGGCGTGAGCCACTGCGCCCGGCCTGTAACATGATTTTTATAGTACCTCACATAGCATTGCCTCTGGCTTTTGACAAGCGTGAGGGAAAACACACAGGTGTTTCTATTACAGACTTCCTATTTTGATTTCTCTGGTTGTAATCCCTTGGTGATGATAACTGGTATAGGTGTAGACTGAAAGAGAGATTTGATTTTAGGAAATGTTTCTAGGTGTTGGAGGTCCCAGTCATTTTCAACACTCTGAAACTTAAAATACCATTTATTTTCTAGTGTCTAGCACTTCCATGCATCACCTTTGCCATTTTTCCTGTGTATATGTTCTTTTGGATCTCTTTATACTTTTTCTTATTCTGTCATTTGGATGTTAATCTCTGTCCCTTGTCTTTTTCACCCTCTGCTGTGATTTCTGTGCTTGTTATTTGTGGTTTTTTAATAATTTGGTATATGTATTTGGTATTCTGTTTTTTACTTTGTCTCCTAGATCAGCAGGCTTGGATCTGAGAGTCAATATTCTCCTACTCCTCTGCTGAAACTGATCAGTATCTGGAGCAGAAACGCAAGGTATAACCTTTCTTTTTTCCTTCTTTAAAAGGGGCAATGTTTTAGACGAATCTGGTTAAAGCAGTCCAGGGAACTAATAATGTAATTTATGGTCTTTCCATACAGTGAACTACTTTTGATACAGTTAAAGAGAATGAGGCAGCTGAGTAAAAGCAAGGAAAGATATGAAAATACATAGTTTAAAGAAAAATATAGCCATGCATGGTGGCTCACGCTTGTAATCCCAGCACTTTGGGAGGCAGAAGCAGGATTGCTTGACCTCAGGAGTTCGAGACCAGTATGGACAACGTAGTGAGGTCTTGTCTTTACTGAAAATCAAAAAATTGGCTGGGCATGTGGCACATTGCTGCAGTTCCAGCTACTTGGAGGCTGAGGTGGGAGGATCACTTGAGCCCACAAAGTCGAGGCTACAATGAGCCATGATCATGCCACTGCATTCTAGCCTGGGAGAAAGTGAGACCCTGTCTCAAAAAAAAAAAAGATAAAAAGATAAATTGCTAGACAATATATATAGTATGATGCAGGAAGGTATGTGTCTGTGTATATAAATATGAAATGAAATAGAAACTGTCCAGAAGGACATATGAGAACTATTAACAATGTGGCCATAGCACGTGGAGGTTTGGGTGGACCAAAGCAGGGAGAGGAGAGTTTTCATAATACATCTTTTGGACTGTTTGAATTTTTTATAATAATTAAAAAGTAAAAATAGGTAAAATAACATCTTACAAAGTAAAGAAAATTTTAGAGTATGTATTACAGCTAAAACTAATACTTTTTTGGTAATTTTTACAGTTTGATTAAAACTTGAAAATTTTAAGTATTAGAGTTGATAGAGATGTTCTTCTAATATATGTAATAATTATGTCAGCAGTTTGATTTGGCCTGGCATAGGGAGAAACAATGTGAAACACACCAGATAGTTATATCATCACATAAATATTATCATTTTCTGCATGCTTGCTTAAAAATAAATGCTGACTTGTAATTGGCATTCTATGTGTTTTTCCCAGTTGCCACTGAAAATCAGGAAAACCTCACAAGCTTTCTAGATTTTCTAGACGATTGTCTTCTTTGTGAAACTCCATCTAAATGTACATTCAGCTCTCATGGTCAGAAAAGGTTTTATTATTGATTCAGTGATGTTAAAAATCATAGTCTTGGTTTTTACAAGATTGGAATCATACTATATAACTGGCTTTTGATTTTGTTTTTTTCGTGTATCTTTATGTCATGAACATTTCTTCATATTATTAATCTTCAAAAACAAACCAAAAACCTTGACATTGTCTTCCTCAGGAAAACTTGTCTATTTTACTAATAGTAAGTTGTCTACATTTATTCCCCAATTTGACACAGCAATTTTATATCTTTATCATTGGACATTTGTAAGCGACTCTTCATAGGCATACTTGAGAAATGTTGTATGTAGTTTTGTCATTTCCATGCAAATAAGCCATGAAGGACTTTCATCCAGGAAGACTTTACAATAGAGATTCATTTTCATATTCGTTGGGGCCTTATTCAAGGTATTGAGCCACATTGTTGGATCCACTTCATTCTTTTCTGCAATTTCTCATGTTTTGGTTGGGTAAATAGAAGCCACATAGCAATGGAGGAGAACCTCTTTTTCCTTTTATACTTAAAACTTACCTGAAAGAAATCTCTAAAATTGTTGACTTCCCTTGGAATCCACATAGCAATAGATATGCATATGACGTTGTGTGTGGAAGAATTAACGAATGAATATTTCAGAACCCGTTCAATGGGAATGTTACTTTTTAATAAAAAAAAAAGATTTTTAAGTGTAGTTCCTGTTTACATAGTGTCAATGAGAAATTAAAAGAGATTTTTCATCTATAGAGAAGTCTAGCATTTTACTAGCTTATAAGTAAGTTTAAATTTTCTCAGAAATTAGGTGAACTCAGGGCAGCAAAAACTTACTAACTAGGGTGAGCATATACTTTTTTGTCCACATTGAAAAACTCCTGAGGATGAAAAGAGATGTAATAAATAAGTCAAAACAGCCAGTGTAAACCGGGACTGTCCCAGACCCCTTTCTTAGCTGTTCTGGTTCTAGTCACTGCAGCCCCAGCATAGCACACAGTCTCTTCTTCCTGCATGCCCCTTCCAGCTCTGTAAGGCCCTGTCATCACATACTGCCTTTGTTGTATTCATCTGTCTTCATAACTTATTATCCACAGCTCCTTCAGGGCAAAGAGGGTTACACATCTTCATCCATGTGTAGTTGATGATCATTGCATGTTGTTTGAGTGATTGGAATTGCTGATTGAGCCATGCACGTTAGCATGTAGCATGCTCATTGTACTGTGGCAGCAAGTTACGCTGGTCAAGGGAAAACGGTTTGGTCGCTGGGAAGTTGCATTGTATCTGTATGGGCTCTTGCTAGGACTTTACCTGCAGTTGAAAGCAGTTCTCTTCCCTTTTCTGCTAGAAAAAGTTTAAGACAACAAAACAACATAGTGATTAAGAGCACAGTCTCTGAAGTCACACTAACCTAGCTTCAAATCCTAGCACCACTGTGCGTTCTTTTGGTCAAGTTGGCCTGTGAGCCTCAGTTTCATCACCTGTAAAATGGGTATAATACCCATTTATTGGTGAAGACCCACTTCACCAATGAAGTGAAAACCCACTTCATTGATAATAGAGGTGATAATATATAATATAAAGTGCCTTGTGTAGAGCCTGCCCATACTATGCACAATATTTGTTGGACAGAAAGATGTATAAATATAACCTCTTAGAACTTTTCTGTCAGTTTGTCAATGCTAAGTATGTTAAAGAGCTCAAGCTCTTTCCCCCCGCTCCCCAGTGATGATGACTTGAAAAAGGCAAACTATCTGAACTGTTTCTGTTTGACCTTCCTAGTAATTGTTAGGATTGCATTTCTGACTGAATCAGCTGCTGGTTTACCCTTGGCTGGAAAGCCTTTGTCCCTCTGCCCTTGTTGGTGCATTTGCATTAGGAAGGATATTTATAACTTTCATGTGAGTCTTTCATTATTGGGGATGGATTCATCCCCGTCTCCCAACATTGAATGTTCCATATCCTGATCAATAAACGTTTGTTTGGTCTGTACTCCTAACTCCTGTGTTCTAGTACATAGGGTTTTATGTGAGTGTTTAAACATTCACATTCTAGAAAGCTTATAATTGAAAAGTAGTCTGTTTTCAGTAAGTCTCTTTTAGAAAGAGCTTAGACATTGGAGTTTGATTGTGATTCAAATCTCAGCTCCATTATTAGCTCAGTGGCTTCAGACAAATCTGTTTTCTCATCCATAATGTGGGAATAATGATACTGCCACATAGAAAGGTTGTGAGAATTAAATGAGAAATATATATAAAGTGCCTAAGTGTAATATGTTTGTAATGTAATACTTAGAATTATTATCCATCGAATTTTAGATTTAATGTAATTCCCCTTTGAATAATCTTATTAATGTGGAAACACACACACATACGCATATATATTTGTTAAACTCATGGTGAAAATTCATATGGACATGTTTTTAGAAGTGAACACATTGAGAATAAGATGATTACTACAATGTTTTTTCTTCCAGGTATTTCCCTTTGCTGGCTAAACAGAAGCCTGGGCACCCAGAATGTGATATCCTGACCAACGTTTTTGCACTTCTCTCAGCAAAGAATCTTTCTGATGCCACAGCTACTATTGTAATGGACATAGTTGATGACCTTCTTAACCTTCCAGATTTCGAGCCCACAGAATCAGTTTTGAACTTGCCGGTAACTGGATGTGTATACCCTGGCATAGCAGAAAACATAGATGGTATGTATGATGACAAAGCAGATAATTCTTAGACTTCTGATGTAGCAATTGTTCCCTCAGAAGAGAAAAAAGATCAGTATAATCTGACTCACTTGAGAGCATGTGCTCATAAGTTTCTTTTCTCTGGGAACTAATACTAATTTATATAAACTGAATTTTCTTTGCAGTTATAAGAATAGATTATTTACTCTTCAAGAAGTCTCAACTCTCCTCCAGGAAATTATGAAAATGATTTCTACTGTCATGTCTCTACATTCTTCTTACCATATTATCCCAAATAATTCCCTTACTATTACCAAAAAATGGTTTAAATAAAGCCTCAAAGGTCTCTTAAATAAGTTCTTGATTTAACTAGTAATATAGCTATTTTGAGTAAGAAGAAAGTTGTTTATTTAGAATCAAAATTTAACTAAATGTTCATAGTGGTTGAGTGCTTTTCTTATCATCATGAAGATTTTGTACAGTTATGCCTTAAGAGAGTTTATTAAAATCAAAATATTAATCATTATCTATTTCAGAGTCTATCACAATAGGAGGAAGATTAATTCTACCTCATGTACCTGCAATTCTTCAGTATCTCAGCAAAACCACAATAAGTGCAGAAAAGGTGAAAAAGAAAAAGAATAGAGCACAAGTCAGTAAAGAGCTTGGCATTCTTTCAAAGTAAGTGATATGTTGATACTTAAAAGATAACATTACTGTCCTTGGTTTTAACTTTTTAAAAAATTATTATCTTGGCCAGGCGTGGTGGCTCACGCCTGTAATCCCAGCACTTTGGGAGGCTGAGGTGGGTGCATCACCTGAGGTCAGGAGTTCAAGACCAGCCTGACCAACATGGCAAAACCCTGTCTCTGCTGAAAATACAAAAGTTAGCTGGGCCTGGTGGTGGACACCTGTAATCCCAGCTGCTCGGGAGACTGAGGCAGGAGAGTCACCTGAACCCAGGAGGCGGAGGTTGCAGTGAGCCGAGATCGTGCCACTGCACCCCAGCCTGGGTGACAGAGTAAGACTTTGTCAGAAAATGAAATAAAATAAAATTTTTAAAAATAACCTTGTTTTTCAGGTGTTTGAACCTGGCAATACAGAGCTAAAAAGTTTTTTAGTATTTTTGAATCCCCTTTACTTTTAAGTTAATGCAGAATTCCCTTTCTCTGCTGGGATACTTACTAGAAACCGTTCATAGCATCTGTCTTTGTTTAATAAAATTAAAGGGAACAGATTTTTCAAAATCCTAAAGTAGACTAATAGATTTGTTTGTTTAGCCTTTGTGTATTTTGAGTTTTATGGAATTACGGTTTTTTACTCTTTAGTGTAATAATAAAAATAATTAACTTGAAAGAGCAGATTGTTCTGTTTTTTGTCAGGAAGATCTCACAAGGGTTTTTAAAGAGTCTGTTTGGCAGTAGACCTAGGAGTCTGTTGTGATTTTGGTAAAGGGAAAGGTTGATAAACCTGAATGCAAGAAACAATTCTATCTTAATTTTAAATTGACCATTACAAGGCTTAGTTGTTGAAAATGTATTTTTTCTGTTATTTAAAACAGTATCAACCAAAAGTGATCTGTTCGAATCTTCTAGAAACTTCTTTGCAATGCTTTTTAAAATACTGTTGTATTTCTAAGTTATGCAGAATGGGAAATCATACTAAATACACTCATTAAATTTCATCCTAGGCTATGTGGTAGTAGAAAGATGATGAAAGGAGATTAGGTACCAGAAAGACCAGAGTTTGAAAGACCTGCTGTACTTCTTTCTAGCTGTGAGACGTCAGTTTCTCTGAGTTTCAGTTTTTCTCTGGGCATAATGAGGCTGACGATTCCTATATTGCAGGGCTATCGTGGGTGTTAAATTGAAATACTGTACATAAACCCTTAAGTCTTGGCACTTAAAAATGTTGTTTCTTTGCAAAATAAAGCAATTACTAATTGCCAGATTACAGGACTGGAGTTCACTCTAACCCACCTATTCACCTGTTCACTGTAACCCACACAATCAGATATTGCAAAATAAATAGAATAGTAGCCATGAGCTTGATGCTGGAGAGGAGTAAGAGTAGCACAGCTAAGTAACTGAGGTAAACTTTTTATACATGCACACATACTTAAAAGCTAGCTGTGTATTGGAATGCTAAAACTGTGTCTTTAGTCACTGATGTTTTTCTACAAAAAGTTTAACTTCTTAGAGAAATATTCCTGTATATGGTCCTTACATACTTGTTTTTTCCTTCTTTAGGATCAGCAAGTTTATGAAAGACAAAGAACAAAGTTCTGTACTCATTACGCTTCTCCTTCCATTCCTCCACCGTGGCAATATTGCTGAGGTACAAACTCGTAGGACACTTACTCAGTCTTTAGAGTAGCGCTTTATCTCTAGGTTTACTTGCGAGCAGCACTTTTACTGGCTAGATTTTGTGATGCATTTGTCCCAAGGAACTTAAAAGACTTTTTATAGAAATACAAAAATTAGGCCAGGCGGGGTGGCTCACGCCTGTAATCCCAGCACTTTGGGAGGCTCAGGTGGGCGGATCACCTGAGGTCGGGAGTTCGAGACCAGCCTGACCAACATGGAGAAACCCCATCTCTACTAAAAATTCAAAATTAGCCAGTGGCACATGTGGTGGCACATGCCCGTAATCCCAGCTACTCGGGAGGCTGAGGCAGGAGAATTGCTTGAACCCGGGAGGCGGAGGTTGCTGTGAGCCCAGACTGCGCCATTGCACTCCAGCCTGGGCAACAAGAGTGAAAATCCATCTCAAAAAAAAAAAATTAATTAATTAAATAAATAAAATTAAAAAATGAGAGGGAAAAGATTAGGACAGACGCTAGGAATGGGGGCAGGCAGGCAAGAAAGTGGAGACGTCATCATCTACAACAATAACAAAGTACTAGCCCCTTTGTTTCCCTTGTTTAGCTTCTGATTCATTTCAGGCGTTTTTCTTTCTCTAACAAGCCTGGAACCCAAGAAGTGCATTGTGTAAAAATTTTTTTTTTTGAGATGAAGTTTCAGTCTTGTTGTCCCAGGTTGGAGTGCCATGGCACAATCTTGGCTCACTGCAACCTCCGCCTCCTGGATTTAAGCAATTCTTCTGCCTCAGCCTCGAGTAGCTGGGACTACAGGCGCCCACCACCACCCCCAGCTAATTTTTTTGTATGTTTTGTAGAGACGGGGTTTCACTATGTTGGCCAGGCTGGCCTCGAACTCCTGACCTCAGGTGATCCGCCTGCCTCGGCCTCCCAAAGTGCTGGGATTACAGGCATGAGCCACCGTGCCCGGCCGCATTGTATAATCTTAATTGTAGATCACAGTGGCAAAACGGAATAAAAATCAGACTTTTAATATTCAGACACAGCTAAGTGTTTCTGGTATGATTTGCAAACCACAGTTCAGTCTTAATTAAGAGTCCTCCAGTGGCTCATGCTCATTTGTCAGACTTCAGTAGTGATACTAAACATTTCTCACCACACAGTTGTTCAATTTAGAAGACCACAGATCTGTGGACAACCAGAAGTGTATACAATTGGCCCTCTGTATTCACATTTCCACATCTGTGGATTCATCCAACCTTGGATGAAAATATTTGGAGAAATAACAATGTAATTATAAAAATGATGCAAATTTTAACCAGCTGGGCGTGGTGGCTCACGGCTGTAATCCCCGCACTTTGGGAGGCTAAGGCAGGCAGATCACGAGGTCAGGAGTTCATGACCAGCCTGGCCCATATAGTGAAACCCCGTTTCTACTAAAAATGCAAAAATTAGCCAGGCATGGTGGCATGTTCCTGTACTCCCAGCTACTCAGGAAGCTTAAGCAGGAGAATCACCTGAACCCAGGAGGTGGAGGTTGTGGTGAGCCGAGATCATGTCACTGTACTCCAGAATGGACAAAAGAAACTCCACCTCAAAATGAATAAATAAATAAAATAAAAATAAAAATAAAAATGATGCAAAGTTTAAAAATGGAGTATAACAACCATTTACATAGCATTTACATTGTATTGGGTATTATAAGTAATCTAGAGGTGACTTAAAACATACAGAAGGGTGTGTGGGTGATATGCAAATGCCATTCCACTTTATATAAGGGACTTAAACATCCTTGGAGTTTGGTATTTTTTGGGGTTCTGGAACCAGTCCCTCTTGGATACTGAGGGACTACTGTACTTCAGCAAGCTCATTTTCTTGTATCTTTTTTGATTAGACAATAGAAGAAATTATGTTTCAAAACTACATATATTGCTTATTAGAATTAAAGGAAGAAACTGGTTCACACATTCTTAAGGGTTTTACATTAAATTAAAATGCTAGAAACTTTAAAAAGATGATAAAATAATTTTTCCAATTACTACTTTCATACCTTATTTGTAATTGTTTTCTATGTTGTGATATATTACAGTATAATTTGACCAGTTTATAACTTACTGAAATATGACTTCTCTTAATATTTCTTCCCAAGGATACAGAGGTTGATATTCTGGTGACAGTACAAAACTTGTTAAAGCATTGTGTGGACCCTACAAGCTTCCTCAAGCCTATAGCAAAACTTTTCTCAGTTATTAAGAACAAACTGTCAAGAAAATTGCTTTGTACAGTTTTCGAGGTCTGTACTATTCATTTTTACTCCAAATCACCCTTTTTAAAAAAATGTAATTATGACTTATAAACCATATTAGGGGCTTTCTTCATGCCAGGGTGATGTTTTTATACGAATTTGAGTGGGGACAGGGAACTGAGGGGAGGAGGGCAGAAAAGTTAAGGTAATACACTGTTTTCTTTCCTTTCAGACTCTTTCTGATTTTGAGAGTGGGTTAAAATATATTACTGATGTTGTCAAGGTAAGAAAGAAGGGTTCTCTTTGGCTTCAAAAGTATTATCATTTTTGTTTACTTAAGATTTATATACCTTCATTTATATAATTTCAATGACATTTCTTATAGCTTAACGCCTTCGATCAAAGACATCTTGATGATATCAACTTTGACCTTCGCTTTGAGACTTTCCAGACGATCACCTCTTATATTAAAGAAATGCAAATTGTGGATGTTAACTACCTAATTCCAGTTATGCATAATTGTTTCTATAATCTAGAGGTAGGTTATTATAGCAAAATTCATAAATTATTTTTTATTGTTCTGGTAATACAGCTGCCTAATATAGTGACCTAATCTTTAAATTTGTTTTTTGAGGGGGGACAAAGGTTTTTAGGATTAAATTTCGTCATGTGAAGAATCTTTTGTCTGGCAAAACACTTATTCTTACGATTGGAAAGGCAAATATTGTGAATAAAATAACACATATGAAAGCATTTTGAAAAAAATCAAGAAGTTACGTATTAGAATAGGGAAATCCATAGAGATGAAGTACATTAGGTCACTAAAGGCTGCAGAAAGGGAGGAATGGGGCGTGATTTCTAATGGGTATAGGGTTTCTTTTGGGAGTGATGAAAATGTTCTGGAATTAGTGGTGATGATCACACAACCTCCTGAATATACTAAAACCCATTGAATTGTACATTTTTTTTTTTTTTTTTGAGACAGGATCTTGTTCTCTCAGCCAGGCTGGAGTACAGTGACGTGATCTTGGTTCACTGCAGCCTCCGCCTCCGGGTTCAACCAATTCTCCCACCTCAGCCTCCTGAGTAGTAGCTGGGATTACATGGGTGTGCCACCACACCCACCTAATTTTTGCATTTTAGTAGAGACAAAGTTTCATCATGTTGGCCAGGCTGGTCTCGAACTTCTGACCTCAGGTGATCTGCCCATCCTCGCCTTCCAAAGTACTGGGATTATAGGTGTGCGCCACAACAACCAGCCAAATTGTAAATTTTTTAAAAGGGTGAATTTTATGGTGTATCAGTTACATCAATTTTTAAACACGTAACTATACTAATTGAAAATTATCCCTTTTTTATTGAAGTTATAAGAGAAATAAAAAGTGTTTGGATTATATTAAGTGCTATGTTGCTGAACTGAATTAAAATCCAAAAATGCAGAAAATGAAACCTTTGATTATTGTTAACTGTGTAGTGGCATCAGTGATCTCTTTGTGGCATTTTATAGTTATTCATCTAATATTAAGGATTATGTAATATATGAAAAAATAATCTCCCCATTTTATGCTCATTCTTCATAATCATGTCAAAACTCAGCACAAAAAATCCTAAGTCACTGCCTGGCTGGCTGAGTCAAGGATACCTTCCCTACACTCACTTTGACATTCTTCAAACCACAAACTCTAGAGCAGCCAATTCCGTCATTTTCAGTAATGACCTGATACTGAATATTGAAAACTGGCTTCTGGAGCAGCCAATTCTGTCATTTTCAGTAATGACCTGATACTGAATATTGAAAACTGGCTTGTGGAGCAAATGACCTGATACTGAATATTGAAAACTGGCTTCTGGAGCAGCCAATTCTGTCATTTTCAGTAATGACCTGATACTGAATATTGAAAACTGGCTTTAGTGAACCTTTTAGACTGCCTGCTTTGGGAGGTAAAAGTAATTAACAAGGACATTTCATAGTGCTACCTGAAATTAAATGACATTTCTTGGGAAGCATGGTTTTTCAGCCATTTACAGTATTATATTCCTCATAGCCCCACATTTGGTTCTCCCTTAGGTATGAAGTATTTGTGGGAACTTGCTTAGTAGGCATTTTTACAAGCACCGTGACAGAATTTTGTAGATGCTTGTACTGGGAAGTAATATTCCATATTGTAGTTATTATAGAATAATTTGGTTTTTTTTTTCTCTTTTTTTTGCAGTTAGGAGATATGAGTTTAAGTGATAATGCCAGCATGTGCCTGATGAGTATCATCAAAAAGCTAGCTGCCTTGAACGTCACAGAGAAAGACTATAGAGAAATTATCCACCGTTCACTCCTGGAGAAATTGAGGAAAGGTCTGAAGAGCCAGACAGAGGTATGTAACTTTGTCTTTTAGGCACTACTGTCTGAGGCTGTGTTTTGTTTTGTTTTCCCACATTTGCTACTGTTGTATAGAAAAGTAGTAAGGCTTAGTGCGTTTAATGAGAATACTTGATTGAGTAAATAGTCACCAGACTTTTAATGGGAGTGGCACTAGAAAGGAGAGCAGTCACGTTTTTCAGTTTTTTTTTTTTTTTTTGAGATGGAGTCTTGCTCTGTTGCCCAGGCTGGACTGCAGTGGCGTGATCTTGGCTCACTGCAAGCTCCACCTCCCGGATTCAAGTGATTCTCCTGCCTCAGCCTCCAGAGTAGCTGGGATTAGAGGCACGCGCCACCACACCCAGCTAATTTTTGTATTTTTAGTAGAGATGGGGTTTCACCATGCTGGCCAGGCTGGTCTCGAGCTCCTGACCTCAAGTGATCCACTCGACTCGGCCTCCCAAAGTGCTGGGATTACAGGCGTGAGCCACCATGCCTGGCCACCAGTCACTTTTGATCTAATACAGCTGTCAGGTTTTTTGTTTGTTAGTTTGTTTTTTGAGACAGGGGCTCACTTTGTTGCCCAGGCTGACATGCACCACCGCACCTGGCTGATTTTTGTATTTTTTGTAGAGACAGGATTTCACCATGTTGTCCAGGTTGTTCTCAAACTCCTGGGCTTGAGCAATCCTGATTTTTTTTTTTTTTTGTAAGAGTGGAAATATTTTACTTTTTAAAATTTTATGTTTCCTCATATTCTCTAAGAAGCAAATTCTTTTTAAAATAAAATATTTTTTTCTTCACTTCATATTTACAGAGTATTCAACAGGATTATACCACGATACTTTCCTGTTTAATCCAAACCTTTCCAAACCAACTGGAATTCAAAGACTTGGTACAGCTTACTCATTACCATGACCCAGAAATGGACTTCTTTGAGAACATGAAGCACATTCAGGTAGAAGACAATTCTGCTTTTCCTACCTATGAAATACTTCAAACAGTTCTGCCTCATTTGGAAAGACGTGTTTTAACTTTCCGAAAAGGTTTAAGCTTCTCTTTCCTTAGCCTTTATGATCGTCATTGAAATTTGTATTAAGATGATCATTTCCTGGATTCTGATTTCTTTGGTGGTATCACAAACCACAGTTAATAATAGTGTCGCTTTTCTCTGCCTTTTCCTAAGAAGCATAAATACTTTGTGTTCACTGTTAAACAAATGCTATGGATTCTATCTCTGAAAGCAAATCAAGGCACAGATGTTTGCTCGTGTAACACATAGACTGTGTTTTCTTTCTTATGTTTCCTCATATTCTCTAAGAAGCAAATTCTTTTTAAAATAAAATATTTTTTTCTTCACTTCATATTTACAGAGTATTCAACAGGATTATACCACGATACTTTCCTGTTTAATCCAAACCTTTCCAAACCAACTGGAATTCAAAGACTTGGTACAGCTTACTCATTACCATGACCCAGAAATGGACTTCTTTGAGAACATGAAGCACATTCAGGTAGAAGACAATTCTGCTTTTCCTACCTATGAAATACTTCAAACAGTTCTGCCTCATTTGGAAAGACGTGTTTTAACTTTCCGAAAAGGTTTAAGCTTCTCTTTCCTTAGCCTTTATGATCGTCATTGAAATTTGTATTAAGATGATCATTTCCTGGATTCTGATTTCTTTGGTGGTATCACAAACCACAGTTAATAATAGTGTCGCTTTTCTCTGCCTTTTCCTAAGAAGCATAAATACTTTGTGTTCACTGTTAAACAAATGCTATGGATTCTATCTCTGAAAGCAAATCAAGGCACAGATGTTTGCTCGTGTAACACATAGACTGTGTTTTCTTTTTTTTTTTTTTTTTTTTGAGACAGAGTTTCGCTCTTGTTGCCCAGGCTGGAGTGCAATGGCGCTATCTCAGCTCACTGTATCCTCCACCTCCAGAGTTCAAGGGATTCTCCTGCCTCATCTTCCCGAGTAGCTGGGATTACAGGCATGTGCCACCATGCCCAGCTAATTTTGTATTTTTAGTAGAGATGGGGTTTTTCCATGTTGGCCAGGCTGGTCTCGAACTCCTGACCTCAGGTGATCTGCCCACCTTGGCCTCCCAAAGTGCTGGGATTACAGGCATGAGCCACTGTGCCCAGCCACTCCTTTAATCTTTTCATGAAAAGAGAATACGATACTAAAATGGAGCTGTTTGAAGGTGAGATTATTCAGTAACTAATTCATATTTTATCGAACTCATAGATCCACAGAAGAGCAAGAGCCTTGAAGAAACTTGCAAAACAACTAATGGAAGGCAAAGTTGTTCTGTCTTCTAAATCTCTTCAGAATTACATCATGCCTTATGCCATGACTCCAATTTTTGATGAGAAAATGCTCAAGGTAGGTCATTAGATCTAGAAACTGAGGACCCTCTTCCCATACCGTGACACCCTCTGCCAAAATATAGATGGAGTTGGTGGTGTTTATGTTGATGTCACCACCATAATTAGAGGTTTAGTATGGTTCTAAAGCTCTTAGAACTGTGCCTGACACATAGTAAATGCTATCTAAATGATGGCTATTATTTGTGTTTTTTTTCTATTATTAGCTCACAAAGGCCCACCACAAAATATTCTTCCTCCTAGAAATTATCACATTATTAAAATTGCATACTTTTATTTTTGTGTCATAGGACTTAAATCTGGTTAACTACCCTAGTGAGCAGTCATTATTTTCGCAAATGACTTACAAGAAGTGAAATGAAATAGTAGTTATCATTAACACCGTACCAGGTACCAGGCACTATTTCAAGTGCTTCATTCTCACAACAACTCAACCCTCAGGAGTAGGGTAGGGACTATTCTTCAAGTACTATTTTACAGGAGAGCAATCTGAGAAGAAGTGAGGTTACATAACTTTCTCAGAGACACCCAGAGTCGGAACAGATATTTGAACTTAGGGCTGTTTTAACCTTTATATTATACAGTGCCTAGAATGGTACCTGGCACATAGTAAAGACTAGATAAGTAATTATTGATTAAAAAGATTAATGAGGTCAAGTGCAGTGGCTCACACCTGTAATCTCAGCACTTTAGGAGGCCAAGTCAGGTGGATCACTTGAGGTCAGGAGTTTGAGACCAGCCTGGCCAACATGGCAAAAACCCGTCTATACCAAAAATATAAAAATTAGCCAGGCATGGTGGTGAATGCCTGTAATCCCAGCTACTCAGGAGGCTGAGGCAGGAGGATCACTTGAACCCAGGAGGCAGAGGCTGCAGTGAGCTGAGATTGTGCCACTGCACTCCAGCCTGGGCAACAGAGCAAGACTATTTAAAAAAAAAAAAAAAAGATTAATGAAAGGTGGTATTAAATGATCATAGAAATTCAAATCTAATTGCAGTAATGTCAGGATTTGGGACTTAAATTTATACTGTTGATTACATAGCCTTATACAATAGTAGATTTCTTCTGTTGTTTCAGGATATTCAAAATGTTTAAAAGAATTATCTAAGTAGTTAAAAGATAGCTCCCTTATATTCTGGTTTAAAAACCTAGTAAGCATAACCTAACTGTTTGATGCCATTGAAATATGAATGGCATGTAGACAGGAAAAAAAAAATAAAGTATACTTAGCTTTGGTTGGTGTTCACATGATATCTCCTTTTTTTGAGATGGAGTCTCACTCTGTCACCTAGGCTAGAGTGCAGTGGTGCGATCTCAGCTCACTGTAACCTCCACCTACCAGGTTCCAGTGATTCTTCTGCCTCAGCCTCCTGAGTAGCTGGGATTACAGGTGCCTGCCACCACGCCCAACTAATTTTTGTATTTTTAGTAAAGATGGAGCTTCACCATGTTCACCAGGTTGGTCTGGAACTCATGACCTTAGGTGATCCACCCACCTCGGCCTCTCAAGGTGTTGGGATTACAGGCGTGAGCCACCGTGCCCTGCCAGTATATCCTTTTCTAGACTTATATTTTTAACCTAATTATGACTTTACATTTAAAGTTGGTTTCTTATTGGTAGCTTTTGACTGAGTCTTGCTTTTTATCCAGTGCAACTACCTTTTAATTGGTATTTAGACCATTCGCATTTAATATGATTATTTATAAGATTGTGTTTTGATCTGAGTCTTGTTATTTTCCATTTGACCCAATTTTTTCTTTTTTTCTCTTTATCTTTTTTTCTGTTGGATTAATTATACTTTTTTGAGATTTTATTTTATCTCCATTGGCTTATTAGTTATTGAGGGATTTTTGCCGTAGGTTTTTGCCTCTCCATTCATTTTAAACTACACAGTACATTGTTGTCATTTTTGCTTTAAGTAGTCGATTATCTTTTAAGGAACTCTTTGAAAATAAAGAAAAGGTCTTTTATATTTGCTTACACATTTATAGTTTCTGGTGCTCTTTGTTTCTTTGTGGAGTTCCAGATATTCATCTGGTATCATTTTTCTTCTTTTAATTATATTTTAAAAATTTCTTATTTATTTGTTGTGGCAGGAAACAAAGGAGGATTTTTTTGTTGTTGTTTGTTTTTTGTGTGTATGTGAGTTTTTTGTTTTTTTGTTTTTGTTTGTAGAGACAGGATCTGCTTTGTTGCTCAGGCTGGTCTTAAACACCTGGCTTCAAGCGATCCTCCCACCTCAGCCTCCAAAGTACTGAGATTACAGGCATGAGCCACTGTACCTGGACTTCATTTTATTTCTGACAAGAGGACTTCTCTTAATTTTTAGTCCAGGTCTACTAGTGATTCACTCTTGCAGCTTTTGTTTGTCTTTGCTTGTCTTTGTTTTTGCAAGATAATGTTGCTGGGTATAGAATTCTCGATTGATAGGTTTATTGTGTTTTTGTTTTTGTTTTTTCCTTCTAGTACTTCAAAGATGGTGCTCAACTGTATTCTGGCTTGTATTATTTCCAATGAGAAGTCATTCTTAACTTTGTTCCCCCGAATGTAATGTGTTTGGGGGTTGTTTTTTTTTGTTTTGTTTTTTTGTTTGTTTGTTGTTGTTATTGTTTGGCCTGGCCCTTGTAGACAGTTTCTGGGTTTTTTTCATAGAGTTTTTTCTTACCTGCTTTTAAAAATGTATCTCTTTACCTTTGGTTTTATGCCATTTGATTATGAGTACCTTAGTGTCGTTTCCTTTATGATTCTTGTGCTCGGGGTTCATTGACCTTCTTGAATATGTAGATATGTAGTTTGCATAAAACTTGACAATTTTCTTTTCTTTTTTTTTTTTTTTTTTGAGATAGAATCTCACTCTGTCACCCAGGCTGGAGTGAGAATGTCACTCTGTCACCCAGGCTGCAGTGGCACAATCTCTGCTTACTGCAACTTCTGCCTCCCAGGTTCAAGCGATTCTCCTACCTCAGCCTCTCTGGTAACTGGGACTACAGGCATATGCCACCACTCTTGGCTAATTTTATTATATTTTTGGTAGAGACGGGGTTTCGTTATGTTTTCCAGGCTGGTCTCAAACTCCTGACTTCAAGTGATCCATCCGCGATGGCCTCTCAAAGTGTTGGGATTACAGGGTTGAGCCGCTATTCCCAGCCAAACTTGGCAATTTTCATATATTATTTCTTTAAATATTTTTGGGTCCCCTTCTTGCCTTTGGAGACTCCAGTGTACATTATTAGGTCACTTGAAGTTGTCCCATAACTCAGAGGCTTTTATATTGTTTTACTTTTTTCATTTTTTTTTTTCTGGGTTTTATTTTGTTTCATTTTTCTGCTGCTCTGTCTTCAAGTTCACTAATCTTTTTTTCTGCATTGTCTAATCTGCTGTAAATCCCATCCAGTATATCTTCCCTCTCAGAATTGTCTTTTTTATCTCTAGAAGTTCAATTTCATCTTTTCAAAATGTCTTTCATGTCTCTCCTTAACATTCTTATGCTTTTCTCTCACTTCTTTTATTTTTCTAAGTATTAAAGTTTTAACCACTTATAACCATATGAGAATTTTATAAATTATTGCCAAGCCCGCTAGAAAACTTGCACAGGGTCTCGCTCTGTCTCTCAGGCTGGAGTGCAGTGGTATGATCTTAGCTCACTGCAGCTTCAAACTCCTGGACTCAAATGATCCTCGCACCTCAGCCTCCCAAGTACCTGGGACTCCGGGTGTACACCACTGCACCTGGCTAATTTTTAATTTATTTTTTGTAGAGATGGAGTTCTCGCTTTGTTGCCCAGGCTAGTCTCAAGTGATTCTCCCACACTGGCCTCCTGAGTAGCTGCGACTACAGGCGAGCACCACCATGCCCAGCTGTAATTTCTTATTAGGTGCCAGACATTATGAATTTTACCTTACTGGGCGTTGGGTACATTAGGATGTCTTTAAGTATTCCTGAGAATTATTCTCAGATGCAGTTAGGTTACTTGTGAATAGTCTAATTCTTTAGAATCTTGCTTTCAAGCTCTCTTAGGGCAGGAGCAGCCTTTACTCTATGACTAATAGGGCCCTGGTACTGAGATACTACCGTTCTAAGGACCTAAATACCCAATGCCCTGTGTAACATGAGGTGTTTCACTCTGGCTGATGGGACTGTGAACTAGCCTCAACCTTATATGGTCTTTGATGATTGTTTTGCCTGTTCCCTTCTTTGGTTCTTTTCCCGTGTCTTCCTTACTCACGCTTACTGCTCAGTACTCAGCCGAAGACTCAAGGGGCTAGCTCTGTGCAGCTTCCCTCTGTGCAGCTCTTCTCTCTGGTGCTGTGCCCCGTGGACTCTAGCTACTGTAGCCTCAACCCTGTCTTCTAACTCAGGAAGACCACTGGGCTCTTTTTGGTTTCTCTTCCTGTGCTGCAACTTAACAGTTCTCTCCACAGAGTAAATTAGGGTAATTATAAGCCTCACTTTATTTATTTATTTCTCTCAGAGATCACTGGCCTGCAGTGGTTGATATCCAAGGTTTGGAAACTGTTGTTTCATGTATTTTTTTTTTTCCCGAGATGGAATCTGACTCTGTGGCCTAGGCTGGAGTGCCGTGGCATAATCTTGGCTCACTGCAACCTCCACCTCCCGGAATCAAGCGATTCTCCTGCCACAGCCTCCTGAGTAGCTGGGATTACAGGTGCTCACCACCATGCCCAACTAATTTTTGTATTTTTAGTAGAGACGAAGTTTCACCATGTTGGTCAGGCTGGTCTTGTATTCCTGACCTTGTGATCCGCCCGCCTTGGCCTCCCAAAGTGCTGGGATTACAGGTGTGTGCCACCGTGCCTGGCCTGTTTCATGTGTTTTGCCTGCTTTTCTAGTTTAAGGTCTACAGGTAAATCCACTCTCTGTTTTTCATCGTGGCCTGAAAGAGATGTCTCTGAGGCAGTGTACTTTTTTTTTTTTTTTTTGATAAAAGTTGCAGGGTACATGTGCAGGATGTGCAGGTTTGTTACATAGGTAAACATGTGCCATGGTGGTTTGCTGTACCTACTAACCCATCACCTAGGTATTAAGCCCAACATGCATTAGCTATTTTTCCTGATTATCTTCCTCCCCTCGAACCCCACCACCTACAGTGTACTTTTGAGGACTGAGTAGCACAATACATAATTTTTGTCATTTGTCGGTTTTTCTACATTGAATTTATTTCATTTGCTTTCTGTAGTCTTGAACGCATTAAGGAGGTCTGAGTGGAAAATAGTCCAAAATATGTTAATAGCCTTTAAAAGATGATATAATTCCTTTAAATGGATAACATGTTTTCCTAGGGTTAGAGGGGAAAATGAGCATAGTTTGGGCATTCTTTCTCTTCTGTAATTACCGAGAACCTACTAAGTTTTTCAGTATACTGAGTTAGCCTTGCATTTTATTAGCAAATACTTGTTCTGCATTGATACTCTGGATTTATTTTACAGCATGAAAATATAACCATTGCTGCCACAGAGGTTATTGGAGCCATTTGCAAACATCTCTCTTGGTCAGCATATATGTATTACTTGAAACATTTCATTCATGTCTTACAAACGGGACAGATCAATCAAAAACTGGGTGTCAGGTATGGTCAAACTTCTTTGTTTTGTTTTTTAAATGTAATTTTAAAAATATTTTCTGAATTAGTCTTTCTGTATCTCAATTTACTTTTATCTTGTATTAAGGTTATGCTAATACCTGTTAAAATTAAAAGTGCTAATAAAAATAATTTTAATGTTTATTAGTGTTTAAATTTCCTCTCCTTTTATAGTCCAATGATATTAATAATCAAATGAACATTTCTGTGTACTTTTTTTTTTAACAGTTTGCTAGTAATAGTGTTAGAAGCATTCCACTTTGACCACAAAACTCTTGAAGAACAAATGGAAAAAATTGAGAATGAAGAAAGTAAGTTTCTTAAACTTTTTTCGTTTTTTGTTGTTGTTGTTGTTGTTGTTGTTTTTTGAGACAGAGTCTCTCTCGGTCCCCAGGCTGGAGTGCAGTGGCGCGATCTCAGCTTACTGCAAGGTCCACCTCCTGGGTTTACGCCATTCTCCTGCCTCAGCCTCCCGAGTAGCTGGGACTACAGGCGCCCGCCACCACGCCCGGCTAATTTTTTGTGTTTTTAGTAGAGACTGGGTTTCTCTGTGTTAGCCAGGATGGTCTTGATCTCCTGACCTCGTGATCCACCCGCCTCAGCCTCCCAAAGTGCTGGGATTACAGGCGTGAGCCACCATGCCCGCCCCTTAAACTTTCTTAAACAAGATTTTCATCTTATTCTTGGATAGTTTATGATAATGAGTAAAGATGGTGACAGTCAACTTATTCCCTTTGTCTGCTCTTACTAGCAATGGCCAATTAATGAGTCAGGAGGGAAGCTAAAATGAATGGTTTAAGTATTCTTGGAAAACTTTATATAACAGAAGAGAAGGCTAGTCTAAATTGTATCAGTGAAAAAATGTGAGCTGTAGATTATTTATATAGAAATCCAATTTTATCACCTTCTTGTGTGAAAAGAGCATTACACAATAAATAGAAAGAAAGTGTAAGAAAATAAGTAATTAAAAATTAGAGCAGCAATTGGTGGAAAATCAACTGGATACAATAGAAAAAAAATCAACAAAGCTAAAAATAAATAAGTATCTGAAAAGATTATAAATTGGGCCAGGGACAGTAGCTCACAACTGTAATCCCAGCTACTTAGAAGATTATAAATTGGCAAATGCCTGACAAGATTGATCTGTAAAAATAGAAGATGTAATAAACATTACTAGGAATTAAAAAGGGTCACAATTAAGTCAAAAGGTCTCTTTGTATTTATAAATTTGAATACTTGGCTGAGATGTACAAATTCTTAGAAAAATATAATGCAAAAACTGACTTTAGAAGAAAATAGAACATCTAGATAGATTTCTAACCATTAAAGGAATTGAATGCACAGTTAGGGTGGGGCATGGTGGCTCACGCCTGTAATCCCAGCACTTTGGGAGGCCAAGGCAGGTGGATCACTTGAGGCCAGGAGTTTGAGACCAGCCTGGTCAACATAGCGAAACCCTGTGTGTACTAAATATACAAAAAATTAGTTGAGCACAGTGGTGCACACTTGTAATCTCAACTACTCAGGAGGCTAAGGCACGAGAATTGCTTGAACCCAGGAGGCAGAGGTTGCAGTAAGCTGAGTTCACACTACTGCACTCCAGCTTGGGTGACAGAGCAAGACTCTTTCTCAAAAAAAAAAAAAAAAAAATTGAATCTGCAGTTAATCATCTGATGAAAACACCAGGCACAGATTGGTTTATAGCTAAGTTTTACCAACCATTCAAGGGGTAGATCATTTCAGCCTATACCAGCTATTCCAGATTATTGGAAAAGAGAAATCCCCACTAACTTGTAAAATTGTTGTAATCGCATACCGGAAACTGACAAAGACTCTATGGGCAGTTGGCTGTCATTAGGATTTTCATGCTCATGAATGGAGGTGCTTTATTTGGTTAAGACGTTCCTGCCCCGCAAGCCTCCCAGTGTGTTCCCCTATTACCCTATACTTGCTGTTCTGTGTTCTTTTATAATCGGCAGTTTATTTGTCTCTCTCATTAAACTCTAAACTGTGAGAAAGCAAAACCCATAGTCCTCTCATTTACTGCTCGTTCCTCAGCACTTATGCCTGCCCACAGTTGCTGATTAGATATTTTTTATCGGAAGTTGGATGTTGGTGGGAAAAACTGCTTACCACAACTTTGTGGTTTCCTTATTTGATTTAAGGTGACTTTTGTTGTTTATTAAACATAGATGCCATTGAAGCAATTGAGTTACCAGAGCCTGAGGCCATGGAATTAGAGCACGTGGATGAGGAAGAGAAGGAAAATACATGCAAGAGTTTGTCAGACCACGAACAGCCGGGAACCCCTGATCCAGCTGACTCTGGAGGGACATCAGCTAAAGAATCCGAGTGTATCACAAAGCCTGTCTCTTTCCTTCCTCAAAACAAGGAAGAATTAGAGAGAACAATTAAAAATATCCAAGGAACCATAACCGGGGATATTCTACCCAGGCTACATAAATGCCTTGCATCTACGGTAATAACTTTATTTGGGGTCCAGCAGGTCTGTGTGAATTCTGGTGTTGGTGGAGCCCTGTCACCCTGAGGCTCTTAGTGATTATTGATTGATTTCAGCTTTTAGATTTCCTTTTATCTCAACACTTCACAATTTACCCCTCTACTCTTATCCCTTCAACTTCAGGCTTATCCTGCTGCAACTAAGCAGTAACACTCATTCTTTATGATTTTGATATGGTAGATAAATGCTTTTCCATCTCCAAAGTAGTTATTAAGAGACTCCCGTGTCCCAAAAAGGTTATTAAAAATTAGAATATGTTTCCCTTTCGTACTTTTTGGTCAGTTCTGCACTATTCAAAATTCATCTTTCTCTTAGTTAACAGAGATAATATTTAGCAGTGCGTTCTCATGAAGCCAAAGCCTTTCTTTCCTTCTCAGGGTGAAACATGGGTTGGCCAGCAATGGCTCAGGGACTAAATCTAGCCTGTGGCCTGTTTTTGTATAGCTTTATTGGAACACAATTACCCATTTGTTTACATAGTGTTTAGTACTGACTTTTTATCACAACATCAGAGTTAAGTCAGAGCCCATAAAGCCAAAAATACTATCTGGCCCTCTTCAGAGAAAGTTTGCTAACTCCTGATATATAATATTGATTTATATTTTTGTATATTTTGTATATTTGTAAATAGACTTTTATTTGAGGCCCTGTATTTATATATACTAACAGCGTCACTCAAACACTTGACTGTTCCAACTGATACACATTTTATATGAGTTTCCTATACTTCACAGCAGTGAAAATCCACACTGGTGAAAATTTGGCTTTATTTTTTTTCTGATGGCTTCTTTGAAAAGTAGAACATTCTTACTCCTGTTATTTTTATAATTTTTAGAGAGCTATCCTCAAATTAGAGATTTGGTTTATTTTTAAATAAACTTAGAAATGGGCTTAAGATCTATAGAAAGGGCTGCCTTTTCTTTCTTTTTTTTAAATGATCATCCATCCTTCTAGAAAAATTTGTCTTTCAAATACAAGGTTGCAGTGTTGGTAGATCACTGATCCATTTACTTTCATTTTAACTTAACCTAAATGTTTCTTGCAGACTAAAAGAGAAGAAGAACACAAGCTCATCAAGTCAAAGGTTGTGAATGATGAGGAAGTGGTTCGCGTTCCATTAGCGTTTGCCATGGTTAAACTAATGCAGTCCCTTCCACAAGAAGTTATGGAAGCTAATCTGCCAAGGTGTGTTTTGTAACAAATTAGAAGTTTAGTGAAACTCAAAAATTGCTTCTTTTCTTCCTTGTTTTTGAACCTCTTTTGTCAGGAAGAGGAAAAGTACTGTCGTAACTTGCTGTGGTTTAGAGTCTTAACAGGGAAATCTGAGTTATGAGTAATTAAGAGACAAAAGGATATGTATATGTTTAATTGCTTCGTTTATTTGATTAATCATTTTTCAACTTCTCATTTTCTAGTATTTTGCTGAAAGTGTGTGCCCTACTCAAGAACAGAGCCCAAGAAATCAGAGACATTGCACGCAGCACTCTTGCGAAGATAATAGAGGATCTTGGTGTGCACTTCCTCCAATATGTTTTAAAAGAATTACAGACTACCCTTGTCCGTGGATACCAGGTAAATTGCATCTTGTGCTTTATTTTCAAGTTCTGTTGGAGTTAAAATATTTGCAACTTGAACACTGCAAGTTATGGAACTTCGGGCCTGTCTTTAATCAATTTGATCCACTGAGACACTGAGCAGTAATATTCAAAAGTTTCTAATTAGTATTAAGGAAATCTGTTATTTGAATAGTTCCTATATCTGATTTTTAAAAGATCCTCATAGGCTTGGGTTACATGACCTATCTTTTTCTCTCAAATTACTTCATGTCAAGCTTTATATTCTCTGAGTTCTTAATATAATTATTTTTGAATGTGTATTGACTGTGTTATCACTGGTATGAATAATAAAGAACATACACATTTGTTTAAGAGTTGGAATATAAAATGTAAGTTATAAAATAAGGGGCTGGGTGCGGTGGCTTATGCCTGTACACCCAGCACTTTGGGAGGCCAAGGCAGGGAGGTGACTTTAGGCCAGGAGTTCAAGAGCAGCCTGGTTAACATAGTGAGACCTCTTCCCTACAAAAACCAATAATAAAAATAACCAAGCTTGATGGCACATGTCTGTGGTCCCAGCTACTCAGGGAGCTGAGGTGGGAGGATTGCTTGAGCCTGGAAGGTCAAGGCTGCAGTGAGCTGTGATTGTGCCACAGAACTCCAGCCTGGGCTACAAGAGTGAAACCCTGTCTCAAAAAAATAAAATAAGAGCACCAAGTGGAATACGCAGCAGTCCGAGTGGTTATGTGGTATCTAGCCCCTTGCTGCTCCAACCATGGCACCTGGACAGACAGTATTTGCAGCATCTGGGGCTTGTGAAAAATACAGGATTTAAAGGTCCTACACCTGACCTGCAGAAACTGCATTTTCATATGATCCCTGGGTGATTTGAAGTTTGAGGAACGCTGTAGCTTGTTCTTTTCAAGTAAGCAGCCATGTTACTTGTTGGGTTGGGGATGAAGAATGATGCTTGAAGAAAACAATTTTGGTACCATCTATATGATTAAGACTCCTGGTAGTTAGCTTTACCTTGTACATCCTAGTTTGTTGATGGGTAAGGTTCCTAGTCTATAGACTGTAAATCTAACACACTAAGAAATGTCATATTCATTTTGACTATCTTTCTTTGTATAGATTTTTAGTAGTTGCTCTATAGATTACCATATATTAACTTAACTTTCAAGAGTCTACTGAGAATCAGTGTTTTACCAATTCAAGTGGAATGTAGAAACCATATCACCCTGTAGGTCCCTTTGCCCTTCACCCTTTGTATTATAGCTCTTTATGTATTAACATCTCCGTATATTGAAAACTTCATTAGGCAGTATTACAATTTTTACTTATAATTGTCACACAAGTTCTCAGCACTCAAGAGGAGAGTAGTCTGGGCCGGGCGCAGTGGCTCACGCCTATAATCCCAGCACTTTGGGAGGCCGAGGTGGGCAGATCACGAGGTCAGGAGATTGAGACCACGCTGGCAAACACTGTGAAACCCCGTCTCTACTAAAAATACAAAAAGTTAGCCGGGCGTGGTGGCGGCGCCTGTAGTCCCAGCTACTCGGGAGGCTGAGGCAGGAGAATGGTGTGAACCCGGGAGGCAGAGCTTGCAGTGAGCCGAGATCGCACCACTGCACTCCAGCCTGGGCGACAGAGCGAGACTCCGTCCTCACCCCACCCCCCCCAAAAAAAAGAGGGTGAGTAGTCTGTTCTACCTAGAGATTTACTGTTTCTGCTGTTCTTCCTTCATTTCTGAATTTCCACACGTCTTTCTAATATCATTTTGCCGTAGTCCAGAGTGTGTCCTTTAGCAATGCTATGGAGCAGGCACGGTGGGAACAGATTCTCTTCTTAGTTTTCTTCTATGAATGTCTTCCTTTTACCTTCATTCCTGAAACATATTGTTGCTGGATATATAATTTCACTTTAACGGTTCTTTCTTTTTAGCTATTTAGTTCTTTCCTTTAAAAATATTGTTCTACTTCCTTCCAACCTGTCTTTTGTTTTTTTTCCACATCAGGCAGATAATGCCCAACTATTTTAACAAGGTTGAAGGAGACACATCTCACACATAAACACAAAAACCCCATCATCACACTTACAAATTATGAAGCATCCCTTCCTGCCTTTCTGATGAGTTATTCAATTTGTTGTCCCCTTCTTACTAATGTGCTGTTTATCTTGGGCTGCTTTAAAGGCTTTGCCATTATTTTTCAGCAGTTTGATCATGATGTGTCTAAGTGTGGATTTCTTTGGGTTTATTCTGTGTGGCATTTGCTGAGCTTCTTGGCCACATTTGAAGACGCTTCAGCCAGTATTTGTGTTTTTGTTTTGTTTTGTTTTGTTTCTGGAGACAGTCTTGCTCTGTCACTCAGGCTGGAGTGCACTGGTATGATCTTGACTTACTACAACTTCCATTTCTCAGGTTCAAGCAATTTGCATCCCTCAGCCTCCCAAGTAGCTGGGATGACAGGCATGAGCCACCACGCCCAGCTAATTGTTTTTGTATTTTTAGTAGCTATGGGGTTTCACCGTGTTATCCAGGCTGGTCTCAAATTCCTGGCCTCAAGAGATCTGCCTGCTTTGGCCTCCCAAAATGCTGGGATTACGGACATGAGCGACCGCACCCAGCCCCAGTATTTTTTAAAATAAATTTCCCGCAGTGCACTCTTTCTTCTCTTCTGGGACTCCAGTGAAATGAATGTTTGTTTTTCTCCCACTGGTTCCTGAGGCTGTATTCATATATATATATATATATATATTTTTTTTTTTTTTGCTCTCCTTCCACTCTGTTTTGGTTGGATAATTTCTTTCAGTCTATCTGCAGGTTAACTAACTCTTCCCTCTTTCATATCTTTCTGCAATTGAGTTCATCCAATGAGTTTCTTATTTCAGTTTTTGGTTTTTTCAGTTCTAAAATATTCATTTATTTTTTCTTTAGATCTTCTATTTCTTTGCTGACACTTAATTTTTGCATTCATTTAAGTCATTCTGCTAGAAAACTGGGGCTTTGTTTTTCCCACTCTGCCATGTGCCTCCTGCAGCTGTGCCCATGTCAGGGGCCAAGCAATGGCAAGACAGAAAGAGAAAAGCAACTAGACTAGGCCAACCCTCTCAGAACTATAGTTCCAATGAATGTAGAGGAAACTTCCCCTCCCAGAGTTGTAGCTCCACCCATCCCCGTTTCAAGGCCACTGCCACCACCACAGCATTGCGAGACATGATCTGTTGGGAACTGGACATACAAGGAGGAACACATCTCTGTTCTTGAGGGTTCATGCACACATTTTTAAGGAACACCTGAGGTATTTAAATGAGTAGCCCTTTTTTTCTCTAACCATCTGTTCTTCAAGTCTATCCCATTATTTGTTAAAATAACTAAATTAGAGTTGAGAGAACAATGGATTTCAGCTTTAGTATTAATCATGTAGACTGTACCAAAATTGTTCTCTTTGAGCATCACTCGTCATCCTCACCCCCACCAAAAGGATTTTTTACAGTTATAGGAAAGTTGGGCACAGTGGTGTGCACCTTTACTGCCAGCGACTCAGGTGGCCGAAGTGGGAGGTGAACACCTTGAGCCCAGGGTGTTCAAAACCAGCATGACAACATAGCAAGACCCTGTCTCTCTCTCTCTATATATATATATAAGTTTCACAGCAAGCATTTCCAATACAGATGCTTTTTGACTTTTTTGATGAGATAGTGTCCCAATAAATCCATCATAAAGTTGAAAAATCATAGATCAAAACAATGTAAGTTGGAAACCCGTCTATATATAAAAGTACTTAAAGATCACAAGTAGGGGCCGAATGCTGAGGCTCACACCTGTAATCCCAGCACTTTGGAAAGCTGAGGTGGGCAGATCACTTGAGATCAGGAGTTCAAGACCAGCCTGGCCAACATGCTGAAACCCTGTCTCTACTAAAAAATATGTATATATAAAAATTAGCTAGGCATGGTGGCACATGCCTGTAATCCCAGCTACTTTGGAGGCTGAGGCATAAGAATTTCTTGAACCCAGGAGGCAGAGGTTGCAGTGAGCTGAGATCGCACCACTGCACTCCTGCCTGGGTGACAGAACAAGACTCTGCCTCCAAAAAAAAAAGATCACAAGTAAGTACATAAGAAACTATGCCTTTAAGACCCAATCTATGTTTTGACAACTAAATGTGTTTCCTTAGCCTATGACCATTATCTGATATTTACCTTGATAATTTCACAGCCCTAGAAGCAGCATAAAGAATTCAAAAAGCTTGAGAGGCAGGATAACCTGTTGTAGAGCCTGAGACTGGTTTCTAATCTTCACTCCACCAGTTCTTATCCATGACCTCTTTGTGCCTCAGCTTCCTCATCTAAAAACTGCTCATAATGTAGTACCTACTCCATAGATTGGCTGAGTGAGGCTTAAATGATGTAATACATGCAGGGTATTCATACAGTACCTACCCTGTAATAAGCTCTCAGGAAACATCAGCTTGGTTGCTATGGGGTGCAAAAACTTGTTTCCTTCATAACCTTTTATTTACAAGCTTTGATTGCATTCAACATGGGCAAGCTCCTTAATTCACAGGTTGGTCTTCTTTTTTTAAAGTTCAAGACTCTTGGCCAGGCACAGTGGCTAACGCCTGTAATCGCAGCACTTTGGGAGGCTGAGGCAGGCGGATCACCTGTGGTCAGGAGTTCGAGGTCAGCCTGGCCAACATGATGAAACACCACCTTTACTAAAAGTACAAAAAAATTGGCCAGGCATGGTGCTGGGTGACCGTAATCCTAGCTCCTCGGGAGGCTGAGACAGAAGAATCTCTTGAACTCGGGAGACGGAGGTTGCAGTGAGCCGAGATCGCGCCATTGCACTCCAGCCTGAGCTACAAGAGCAACACTCGGTCTCCAAAATAAATAAATAAATAAATAAAAATAAAGTTCAAGACTCTTGTGCCTCTCTTTATAAATCACTGGCCTGGTTTAGTCCCAACAACAGATCTAAGAATGGTAGTGTGTTTCTGAACACCTTTGGTACAAAGTGATCATTTGGTTATAAGATTTTAGATAGTGAAATAACTGTGTCATTTGTGGAAGCTTCTCCTGGCAATAGAAGACATATAAACTCTGAGTGTGCTCTTTGCAGTGCTTCCTAGATCTTATGTTTTCCTAGTGTGACACTGTTAACATTCATATTGTTACTGTGCATCTTACCTTAGGTCCATGTGCTGACTTTCACTGTTCACATGTTGCTGCAAGGCCTCACCAATAAGCTGCAAGTCGGGGATTTGGACTCTTGTTTGGATATAATGATTGAGGTAAGACTTACAGAAATGAATTCCAATTTTTTTTAAGTGGGCAAATGACACAAAAAAATCAATTCATAAAATAAGAAATAATAATAGCCCATAAAAATGAAAATAATGTAACACCTCATCTTTTAGATTAGCAGAGGTTTAAAAAGCTAAGACTAAAGCGAGATGGGCACTCTGTCACTGCAAGGAGCTCATCAATTGGTATGATCTTTCCGGAAAGTAAGTTGCCATTTTGTATCAAGAGCTTTTGAAATGAGAAAAGATTTTCAGTCACATCTAAGAATCTATTTTTAAGAAATAAATTATGTTCACAGGAGCTTTATTTATAATACAATGGGAAATTAATAATAACTTTTAAAATTGGGCTGGGTGCTATGGCTCATGCCTGTAACCCTAGCACTTTGGGAGGCTGAGGTGGGCAAATCACTTGAGGCCAGGAGTTCAAAACCAGCCTGGCCATCATGGTGAAACCCCGTCTCTAACAAAAATACAAAAATTAGCCAGGCATGGTGGCGTGCGCCTATAATCCCAGCTACCCAGGAGGCTGAAGCAGGAGAATCGCTTGAACCCGGAAGGTGTAGGTTTCAGTGAGCACAGATCATGTCACTGCACTTCAGCCTGGGCAACAGAGTGAGACTCTGTCTCAAAAAAAACGAAAAGAAAAAATTGGATAGTATGCTAATTTGGAGACTACAATTGTGAAGAGAATAAATTTGCCACATAAATTTTTGTTCATTTATTTTAAAATGTAGACACTAACATTTTGAATCTCAATTTAAATATTTACATTAGACCGGGCACAGTGGCTCACGCCTGTAATCCCAGCACTTCAGGAGGCTGAGGCGGGTGGATCACTTGAGACCAGGAGTTTGAGACCAGCCTGGGCTACATGGTGAAACCCCATCTCTGCTAAAAGTACAAAAATTAGTGAGGTGGGGTGGCAAATGCCTGTATTCCCACCTGCTTGGGAGGCTGAGACATAAGAATTGCTTGAACCCAGGAGGTGGAGGTTGCAGTGAGCTGAGATCACACTACTGCACTCCAGCCTGGGTGACAGAGTGGGACTTTGTCTCAAAAAACAAATAATTAATTAGATTAATAATTAGATTGCAAATATTTGTAATTTATTATTAGAGTGTAAATAATTAATTAGATTGCAAAGATTCTGAGAACTTCTTGAAGGGAAATTAAGCTACTCTTTGGTGCATCAAAAAAGAAGTAACTGTCTATACAGTCATACAATTATATATGTACATCTGTGAAGGATTTTTCTTTGTTTCCCATTAGTATCAACCTTTAAGTGTTTCTTATGTGTTTGTTTTTTAAGTAATTGATCCCTAAATTGCATTGAAAACAAGTGCATTCTAAAAGAAATTTCTTCCATCTAATTTGAGCCCAGTCCAACTTGCATTTCTTTGATTAGGACATGTCAGGGCCTCTCTTCAGTAACTGCTTATGTTGGCATATCTTGCTGAGTGCACATAATTGCCATTTGTCCTTTTTCTTCTAAAGATTTTTAACCATGAGTTGTTTGGTGCTGTTGCTGAAGAGAAGGAAGTAAAGCAGATCCTCTCCAAAGTCATGGAAGCACGAAGAAGCAAAAGTTACGACTCTTATGAAATCCTGGGCAAGTTTGTAGGAAAAGATCAGGTTACAAAACTTATCCTTCCCTTGAAAGAGGTAAGGACTTGAATGCAATTCAGGAGATCACAGCATTGGAATCTCATGAGTTCCTAAAAGGAATGATGCGGGGCAACCTGAAACACTGTTCTTGATCATGCATGATTTCCTTAGGTGCTAGGGCCCCAGGACCATATGGCCAGTGAGTGCTTTGATTCAAAAGTCATAGTCCCCAATGTAAACCATGAGATGAGAAAGAAAGGCAGCAAGAATTGAGTGCAGATGAATATTATAGCTGGGTCAAGTCAGCAGCTAAGAACATGAAGAAATCCTGAGGCACACAAGCCACATAGTGCTTATCTCTGAGGATGAGGTTATAAGTAACATTTCTTTATATGTTATGTCCGTGTTTGAAATTTTATTAAGAATTTATTTTAGGCCAGGCATGGTGGCTCACACCTGTAAATCCAGCACTTTGGAAGGCCAAGGCAGCAGGAATTGCTTGAGCCCGGGAGTTCGAGACCAGCCTGGGGCAATATAGCAAGAACCTGTCTCGATTAAAAATGTATATTTACATTTACCAAAAAATTCATTTTAATTATGAGTAAATAGATATTAGAAAGCCTTTGGACACAGGTTGCCACTTCCAGGTTGCCAAGAGGAAGAAAACTGGCATTTATTGACATATTATATTCTAAGCACTGCTACATTCTCTCTCCTAATCTGCACACCCTGTGAGATTGATGGTATTTCCATTTTACAAGTAAGAAAATTCAGGCTTGGCAGGCTTGGAAAGGTAGAAAGGAACATGGTTAAAGAGAAAAGTCAGGATTTAGTTCCAGATCTTTCTGATCCAAGTTCACATTCGTACCATGGTTTCATTCTGCCTCCTGAAGCTCAGGGACTGTAATTTACCCACCTTCCTGTTGATTTCTGTGCCTATTGCAGAGGTGAACGTCAGTAAATGTTATTGATTTATTGGTTTTGTGTATTAAAAGTAGAGCGAAGAGCGCTATCTATTGACATGAATTACATTAGGTCTAAATATTCTGGTGCTAGATGAACTCCATAATTGCTCCTAGAATGCATTTAGTTTTATCTGAGCCTTATCTAAGAATTTTAGATGCATTTTGTGGTTGAAAAAGAGTCAACAGAGCACATATATCCGTGATGTATATTACAAAGTCCCTCCAAGGTATTGAGATTTATTAATACTATGTCTCATGCAAGATAATAACTCTGAAGCACCGAGTATTTCCTGAGGTTGCTGATCCTGGTTCCCATTAGGTTCCTCTGATTTGGCCCAATAATTGATATCAGACCCTGAGGCTTGGCCATGGCAGCACTTCATTCTCATGGTTCTATGAGGAGTGAATACATTTTGTTGATTGTGTGTGTGTGTGTGTGTGTGTGTGTGTGTGTGTTTGCCTCTAAGTTACTCCTGTTAATGTACCAGGAGAGTTGATGTTAACTCAGAAGTCTCAGATCTCTGGCATTGTGCCCTGAGGCCTCATCAGCAGAGAACAGGGAGGGAGTGGAGGAAACCCCGAGGCTCACAAGCCTGCACAGTGGTTCTTCCTGGGGTTGAGATTATAGGTCACTTTCACCTTATATGTTATATCTGTGTTTGAAATTATATTAAGAATGTTTTTTAATTAGGAGAAAGCCAAACATGTATTAGAAAGCCAATATGTAAAAGAAAACCACATTATGACAACTCAAAATGCATTTCTGTGTCATCTCAGCATGACATTTGTGTTTTGCCTTTAGATCTTACAAAATACCACGAGTTTGAAACTGGCCCGAAAAGTTCATGAAACTTTACGCCGAATCACAGTGGGATTAATCGTAAATCAGGAAATGACGGCTGAATCCATTCTATTACTCAGTTATGGTTTGATCAGTGAAAATCTTCCCCTGTTAACAGAGAAAGAAAAGTAAGTTGGAAAAAAAAAACCCTGTCATTTAGGTCTCTGCGTCTGATAAGCCATTCTGTGGGTTGTTTTAATACTTTGCTTTAGTAAAAAATAAAATTGTATCCACCTGAGTTCTCAGATGGTACTTTATGGTGTGATACATTTCAACATGAGATTTTCTCATAAATGAGGTAGCTGTGACAGCAGACAATTATTTTGGCATTTCTCTGATACCATTTTGTTTTAAAGATTTATTGGTTCAAAGATAGGATAGATTTAAAATCTATATCTTGTTTTCTGATTAAACAGAGATTGAGACCTTAAAAGATGTTAAAATATCTTAAAAGCCAGGTGCAGTGGCTCGTGCCTGTAATCCCAGCACTTTGGGAGGCTGAGGTGGGCAGATCACCTGAGGTCAGGGGTTTGAGACCAGCCTGGCCAACTTGGTGAAACCCCGTCTCTCCTAAAAATACAAAAATGAGCCAGACATGGTGCTGGCACCTGTAATCCCAGCTACACAGGAAGGCTGAGGCAGGAGAATCACTTGAACCCGGAGGCGAGGGTTGCAGTGAGCCGAGATCGCACCACTGCACTTCAGCCTGGGCAACAGTAGTAAAAAAAAAAAAAAAAAAAAAGTCTTTATTATACTTAGTAACTTCCTTTTGTTTCTGGGGTCTAAGAAGAGACTCATTGGCATTCTCTACTTTTCAGAAATCGAACAACGGGGAGTGTGCCTGCTGTTGATCTATGTCAAACTATATTCGTGCCCTTGAGTACAATTAATCAACAGCCTATAAATCTTCTGTGTCTTCATGTTTGGGGTTGGGGGGGCTGCAAAACCACAGCAAATGGGCACATTATTTAGTGCTGGGCTGTCTCACTTTAGAGGGCACGTGGTGGATTCTTGGAATGCAGCTGACAGTGTTCGTTTCCCCCTCTTCTCATGTCACAGTGTGATTGACAGAAAGTCCGTTTGTAGCCCAGACACCATGATCCACGTCTGCCAGCCCCAGAGCGTCCTACTGCTTCCCCCAACTCCAGTTTCGAGGCGTGACAGCAAAGCTGTTGCTGAGCAGGAAACCCAACATGCACATATTTATGAGGTCTGGGCCTCGGGTAAGAATTACCTTAAATTGGAGACGTTGCTTACTTTTCCAGGAGAGTCTGCACCTTTTAACTCTTCTGTTGGAATTTCTTTTTTGGTTGTTTGGTTTTTTGAAACAGGAGTTTCGTCTTCTTTTTGCCCCATGGCTGGAGTGCCAATGGCGGCCATCTTGGCTCACCTGCAACCCTCCCCTCCGGTCTCAAGCGATTCCTCCTGCTCAGCCTCCCGAGTAGCTGGGATTACAGGCATGCATCCACCACCCCAGCTAATTTGTAATTTTTAGTAGAGACGGGCGTTTCTCCCATGTTGGTCCAGCTGGTCTTGAACTCCGCGACCTCAGGTGGATCCACCTGCCTCGCGCTTCCCAAGAGTGCTGGGATTACAGGGCGTGAGCCACCGCGCCGCCCTTCTGTTGAAATTTCTGAGTACCTGCTCACTTCCATTGGAAACTGCCTTACTGTAAATACTGTTTAGATTTTTTCTATTCTTATAGGCTGCATTGGTCCATTTACTATTATCTCTTCCAGCACTTACATTAAAGACTGTAACTGTCCCAGAATTAATGATTCTGCTCTAATATGTATTAAGGTCTTACTGGTGCTGTTTGCCCATAGAGCCCCTTCTGAACTACTTCTTGAAATTTTTTTTAAAAGATGAGTGAGTGGCTGGACATCGGTGACTCACACCCATGCAATCCCAGGCACTGTCGGAGGCTTAAGGCACGGAGGATCACTTGGAGGAGAGGAGTCGGAACCAGCCTGGGCAATCATAGGCAAGACTCGCTGCCTTACAAAAAAAAAAAAAAAAATTATGTTTTAATAGCCAGCAGTGTGCATGACATGGCTAGCCTTGTAGTCTAGTGCTACTGCTCAGGAGCGGTAAGGTGGGAGATTCCACTTGAGCCCAGGAGTTTGAGGCTGCAGTGAGCTATTATCGCACCACTGCACTCCAGCATGGATAATATAGTGAGACCCTGTCTCTAAAAAAATAACAGTAATAATAATGAAATAAAAGATGGTGAGCTTTTAAAAGAATAAATCTGATCATTTTCTTTTTAAAACCCTTCATTGACTCGCACTTTTCTAACACACGTTCCAGCCACCGTGGCTTCCCTTCCCATCTAGAAAGTCACCATACTCTTTCCTGCCCTAGGAGCTCACCACCCACTCTTTGCTCTACCAGATTCCCACAGAACTCTCAAAGCACCCTACCTGTACATGTCATCATTTCCTTAGAGTCTGCCTAAGATCTATCAAGGCAGAGACCATGTCCATCCTGGTTATTGCCATGTCCTGCGTACTGAGCCAGTGCCTGGAATCACAGTAGATCCTGAGAAAATGGACTCTGGTAAACAGACGTAGCATCTCAGCTGCACAGCAAGCTCTCACCTTGACTTTGTGAGATCCTCTCAGGCAGTCTGTCATTCCTTAAAAAAATTTTATCATTTCAAATAGAAGTATCTTAACATTTGCTTTTCTCTAAACATCATTTCACATTTACCTAACTCATCTGGTCTAATGGGCAACTAATGTGAAATATCTTTCTGAACTCTGTTAGCTGCTGCATCTGAGTCTGAAGACTTCCAAGATCAAGTCTTCAAGTGAGCATGTCCTGGAAATGCTGGATCCTTTTGTGTCTCTCCTCATAGACTGCCTGGGCTCCATGGATGTGAAGGTAAGCATCGGTTTGCACTCGGCACTGGAGCATTTTCTTCTTCAGAGGAACTATGTTTTGCAGAATGCCTAATGGTTATGCTTGGGCTCAAGCTTTATGAGATGACTGAGGTTTTTTTGTTTGGTTGGTTGGTGGGTTGATTGTTGGTGGATTGGTTGTTGGTGGGTTGTTTGGTTGGTTGGTGGGTTTTTTTTTTTTTTCTTTTATTGAGACAGAGTCTAGCTCTGTCACCCAGGCTGGAGTGCAATGGTGTGATCTTGACTCATTGCAACCTCCACCTCCCAGGTTCAAGGGATTCTTCTGCCTCAGCCTCGCCTCAGCCTCCCAAGTAGCGGGGACTACAGGCATGCATCACCATGCCCGGCTAACTTTTGTATTTTTAGTAGACACAGGGTTTCATCATGTCGGCCAGACTGGTCTCGAACCCCTGACCTCAGATGATCCGCCCACCTCGGCCTCCTAAAATGCCGGGATTACGGGTGTGAACCACTGTGCCTGGCCGAGATGATTGAATTTTTAAAGGGATTTATGACATCATGAACCACCACTATTTGCTACATTAAATCACTTCCCAATTTACTAATTCTATAAATTTGGATAGACTTTAACAGTTTTAAAAGCCCTCCTAGGTACATTAAGTATTTCATTTGATCCTCACAACTTCATGAGGGTGAAGGATTTTGTCCCCTTACTAGTCATCATCATTGTCACCTTTGTTACTATGACTGCTCCATGCTGTGAATCTGAAGAACATTATTTCTGATCCTCACAATCCTCCCTGAGGCATATATTCTTACTATTTCTGTTTTATAAATGAGAAAATTAGGGCGAGGGTCTAAGTACAGGTCTAGGCTATGAACCTAGGTCTGTCAGACTCCAGTGCCTACACAGGTCCCATTTTTCTCATATCACCTGCTTTACAGATGAAGGTGCCGAGAGGTTAAGTAACATCTCTAGAGTCAAACAGGTCATCAGTTGCAGAGCTGGGATGTAAGCCAACGTCTTTCTGACTCCCAGGCTCGCTCTTCTGTGTCTTAATCCAGCCCACTGAGGAGCTCTCAGCAGCCAGAGCAGCACAGGTATTATTAGATAGAGCTGAACTAGCTGATCCAGGTACTTTCAAAGGTTTGGCCTTGGAGGTTCAGGGAGCTCAGCACACTTTTTCCATATGTTTTGCAATAGCACTTAACTATATGAACTGTTAGTCAGTTGTTCCTATGCTTAATTTCTGAGTTAACCATCTGCTGCGTAAGTGCAGAGATAGTATCCTTTTTATCTTTGTATTTATAATACCCAGTAGAGTGCCTTGTATACCTAATTCAAGCTTAGTAAGGGTAGATTACATTGAAGTACCATTCTAGAAAACATAAAAGTCATTTAAGATGTATTTTTCCAAAAAGAATTGTAAAATTGACCAACCTATCCAAATCATATAACCTCCATAAACCCCTATCAGTAGGTTAAAAATATGGCCGGGCTTGGTGGCTCGGGCCTATGACCCCAGCTCTTGGGAGGCTGAGGCAGGAGGACTGCTTGAGCCCAGGAGTTCAAGACCAGCCCAAAAATGTTTAAACAAAGATTAAATTATGAAAAGAATATGGTGCCTTTTCTTATTTCCTTATGCTCTACCATCATAAGGATCCATTGTTATGGATAAGCAATAAATTCTTCTACAATCAGGAAATGGGAACGTCTTTGTCTTCTTACATTTTGGGCACAGTTCTTCCAGAGTGGGCTGGGTTTAGCATCTTATTTATTCAGCACAATCATTTAAAGAGTCTGCATAGCCTCAGGTGCTGGATTGTTGGATTCGGTCACATCACAGGTTGGTGGTGTTTTGTTTTGTTTTTTTTCAGGTGATCACGGGTGCTCTACAATGCCTCATCTGGGTCTTGAGGTTCCCGCTACCTTCCATAGAAACAAAAGCAGAGCAGCTGACAAAACACCTCTTCCTTCTGCTGAAGGACTATGCAAAGCTCGGGGCTGCCAGGGGCCAGAACTTCCACCTGGTGGTCAATTGTTTCAAGGTGAGATGTCTTCACTTGCACTTGGAAAAAGCCAGGATGGAGCCGGACGCAGTGGCTTACACCTGTAATCCCAGCACTTTGGGAGGCTGAGGTGGGAGGACTGCTTGGGCCTAAGAGTTCAAGACCAGCTTGGTCAGCTTAACGAGACCCTGTCTCTACATTAAAAAAAAAAAATTAACTGGGCATGGTGATGTCTACCTGTAGTCCCAGTTACTTGGGATGCTGAGGCAGAACGATCACTTAACAGGAGTTAGAGGCTGCAGTGGGCTATGATCACATCACTGCACTCCAGCCTGGGTGACAGAGCGAGACCCTGGCTCATAAAAAACTAGAACCAGGATTAACATCAAAGTTAGTTTTCCCCATTGCCCTTTGTGGTTATGGCCAGAATTTTTTCCAGAGCCATTTGCCAAGGCTAGAGGGCTGGCATCCTGTGTGGAAAAGCATACTTGTGTGTTGTGTTAAGTCTTTGTCATTTCACTGGATCCCAACTGTGGGATGTGCTGGCTGTTAACATCACTATTGTAACTCGCAGTGTGTGACCATACTTGTCAAGAAAGTCAAGTCTTACCAGATAACTGAAAAACAGCTCCAAGTTCTACTGGCCTATGCTGAGGAGGACATTTATGATACTTCAAGACAAGCCACTGCCTTTGGTCTTCTGAAGGTATGGTGTCACCAGAATGTTGACTTACAGTTTATGAGCTTCACAGCAGGTATTTTGAACATATGAATCATAGTGTTTTGACTAGCCGTAGACCTCTGAAATTGAGTAATTTGTAAAGATTATTATGATTTTGGTGGGTCAATTACAGGCAAACATTTGCTTATGAAAAATGTTTAAATGTGAGCTCTGTATTAACATTTCCAGGGAATTCTGTACAAATACAGGTATTATCTTTTTATTTATATGTTTTTCTTCTTAGTGTAGTAAAATGTACATAACATAAAACTCACCATTTTTAAAAATTCACAATTTTTACCAATTTGAAGTGTGTGTTTAAGTGTTGTGTGTTCTTTGTGCTTAAGTGTGTATCCTTTTTCTTTTAAAGTTACTTTACTATGTTTGAAAATTTCCTGTGATTGCTTTAGCATCAACTCTGCTTCCATTCATCTGCAGCAGAACACATGAAATGAGTGTGTCTTTTGTGTCTTAGGCAATTTTATCAAGGAAGCTGTTGGTCCCAGAAATCGATGATGTCATGCGGAAAGTATCCAAGTTGGCAGTCTCTGCACAAAGTGAACCTGCCAGGGTCCAGTGCAGACAGGTTTGTAGAGAGCACTTATCCCCAGTGCAGACAGGTTTGTAGAGAGCACTTATCCCCATAGCAAGGGCTGGGCCCTGCCGCGTCTGTCTGACAGAGGTGTCAACATTGGCTGAATTCTGAAGACTACCTTGTGTCATGTTGGTGCTTTATGCTGAGACTCGGGCGTCCTGGTGCAGGAGGTCAGGGGAGGCTTTTCTGGGGACTGACAGGCCGGCCAAAATGTGAAGGAAGAAAAAGGCTTAGTTTTACCGGTGAGAGGGCAGTAGAGGCTTGAGGTGAGTGAGAGCTTAGCTGGGTTGAGGAGCTCAACACAGGTAAGTGAATTGAGGAGTGGGGAGCCAGGTTGGGCAGGCCCTTGTGGTCTTGTTAAAGATTTTGGGCTTTGTTTTTTTGTCTTTTTTTTTGAGATGGAGTCTCGCTCTGTCGCCAGGCTGGAGTGCAGTGGTACGATCTCGGCTCACTGCCACCTCCGCCTCCCATTTTCAAGCGATTCTCCTGGCTCAGCCTCCCGAGTAGCTGGGACTACAGGCGCCCGCCACCATGCCCAGCTAATTTTTGTATTTTTAGTAGAGATGAAGTTTCACCAAGTTGGCCAGGATGGTCTCGATCTCTTGATCTCGTGATCCACCCACCTTGGCCTCCCAAAGTGCTGGGATTAGAGGCGTGAGCCACGGCGCCCGGCAGGGCTTTTTCTAAGAATAGTAAGGAGCTATTTAAATCCTTAGGGAGAGGAGTGACAGGATCAGGTTTGTATCTATACATCTGTCAATATCTAATTTTATGAGCACATACTGTGCCCAAGGAGGTGGAAAGGTCTAAGTTGGAAATAGGAACTCAGGGTTGCAGGTGGGTTTGGGCTGCTGAGGAGGCCAGGAAGGGAAGACGCATGTCTCTGGAAATAATTGCTTGGCTACTATTAGGAAGAAGAAGGGTCAACTGCTATTAAGCACTAGCTGTGTGCCTAGCATTTTAAATGCATGACCTCTGTTTACAAGTACCCTTCAGAAGAAACAGTATCCCCATTTTATGGCTAGGGAAAGGCAGGCTTTGGAAACTTGAATGAAGTTGCTTAGTTCTCACAGTTTATTAATAAAGGAGGCTAGATACTACAGTGGTTTGAAAGTGCAGCCTTTGGACACAGACTAGGCATGGAATTCTGGCAGTGTCACCTGAGCAAGTTTCTTATTGTCTCTGGACCAACTTTATTCCCTTCAACTAGAAAGTGGGCTATTATCATGTACTTCCTATGGGAATGATGAGATTTAACTGAGAGACACTTAACGCAGTGCTTGGCACATAGAGGGTTTATAGTAAATGCATTATCAGTATTGATATTATCACCATGTTGTTACTCTTGTTGAAGGGGAGATACCAGGTTGGACCACAGTCCATACTGTGGCACACCTGTCACCACCTGTCACAGAGAGATCAGCTTCCGACCTGTGGGCTTAGATTTGAAGTCTTAAACCACAGTGCCAGTGGCGGGCCAGGGCTTGCCTCTGTCAGGCACCATAGGGCAGGACTAGATAAATGGTGGGAGAAACGAAAGGTCACAGTTGCTATTGACTTTATAGGCAGATTTAGCTGTAGTCCATTGGAAAGCCTGATTGATTGCCATTCTTGAAAGTTTTTATAACCTACCAGTGAGTTCCAGAAAGCAGCTTAGGAAACAGGAATACTGGAGACGAGATCCAAATAATCATCTGTGTGACTTTTGTTCCAGGTTTTTCTGAAATATATTCTTGACTATCCCCTGGGTGACAAACTGAGACCAAACTTGGAATTCATGCTCGCTCAACTGAAGTAAGCTTAGCTGTTAACTACAACGGGCGGAGGGCAGTTTCTTCTTTCCCTTTAACATGGCGGCTGTCTTAAAAAGGACGAGGCCTAAGCATAATGGTGCATTCTCTGAGCATATTGTTATATGACTCATTAACTCGATAATCAGACATTGTGCTTGGCTTCATATAGCCTTTCTCTGAGTTGCTTTTCAACCTAGTTTAACTGTTGATTGTCCTAAGAGTCCACTTAGGAGAATGTTGAAATCTGACACAATTGCATTTAAAACTGCACAGTGGTAGCTTAATGGATATATACAAGCATTAAAAGTAGGGAAACAGAACATTTGCCATTTTTTAAAGAATTAAACTGACACCTTGATACAACATTTTACATTTTTTAATAATTATTGGTAAATTTAGAAGATACTAACAAATCCACCTAATGTCCTTCCTCTAGTTACGAACACGAGACCGGGAGAGAGTCCACCTTGGAAATGATCGCCTATCTCTTTGACACGTTCCCTCAGGTACTGTGACCCCAGAGATAAGCCCCGTGACCCCCAGAAGTCCTCAGTCCCCCTTTGCTAGAGCATCTGTAGGAATTCCGTTCTGAGTGCTCACACGTGCCTCTTTTCTTTTAGGGGCTGCTCCATGAGAACTGTGGAATGTTCTTTATCCCTCTTTGTCTAATGACGATCAATGATGACTCTGCCACATGCAAAAAGATGGCATCCATGACCATCAAGTCCCTACTTGGTAAAATCAGCCTCGAGAAAAAAGACTGGCTGTTTGATATGGTTACCACTTGGTTTGGAGCAAAAAAGGTGTGCATTGCTGTTAGTCACAGTTCAGTGACAAGTATTAGCTTTGGGGATCATAGTTTAAGTAAGAATATATGTTATACACTGTTGAATTGGTTTTTTTCTCCACATAGTGTTATTTTTGTCTGATTATGCAAATAGTATATTCTTAAAGTCTCCCAAAGTGTAAGAAGTTACAGAAAGTAATATAAAAATCACCTGTATTCATACTATGTTATTGTTAGGAAAGTATTCCGCTACATGAATGTATCATAAATTACTTAACCAGCTCCTAATGATGAATACCTTTGTTTCCAATTTTACATATTCGATTTCTGAAATGTAATTTTCATCTTTTTATCCACTTGGTACCTCTCCCACCATCACTGTTGGCCCATCTTTGTGAAACATAAACAACATATGCCCTGTGTTAATGAGTAACTTGTTGCGTACCCACTTAATGTGGGGTGGGCATGAGACTTCTTTCCATTTCCTTTTCATTTAAAATGGAAAAAAAAATATTAAAGTACTCAGTGGATAATAATAATGCCTCTTTTTAAAACGTTATTCTTGAGTGTAAAAATTTCCCCACATTTTGTATATTGGCCATCAAAGCCTCATAATTTACTGATTTCTGGCATCAGAAAGAAATGTTTATTGTCTCTGAATGTTGAGGACAAAATAATGCCCACCTTTGTTTTACAGTTTCAGAAAAGGCCTCCCAAGTTCTCTTGACATTGTCTTGTGGTTTATTTTTGGTAGCGCTTAAATAGACAGCTTGCTGCCCTGATCTGTGGCTTGTTTGTGGAAAGTGAAGGAGTTGATTTTGAGAAAAGACTTGGAACGGTCCTTCCTGTGATTGAAAAGGAAATTGATCCTGAAAACTTTAAAGATGTAAGTAATTTGCTAGGGAATACAACTTTTCTAACTTAGAGTTTTACTTGTGGTGATGTAGCTAACAGATTAGATATTAGCTTATAGGTTAAATATTTATATTTATAGCTAACTGATTAAATATTTGTGTTCAAACAGTGTCTTTTATCCTAAAAGCAAAAATTCAGTGTAGTTGGAACTTAAATGAGCGCTATAGCCAGGCATGGTAGCGCATGCCTGTAGGAGGCATGAGGCAGAAGGACCGTGCCACTATACTCCAGCCTGGCTAACAGAGCAAGACCCTGACTCAAAAAAAAAAAAAGGGGGGGGGCCGTTGGGAGATTAGAATTAAAGTATCTTCATGGTATATGAAGATCAAAGGTTCTCAACTCGGGCAATTTTGCCCCCCCGGGTGACATTTGGCAATGTCTGGAAACATTTTTGATTGTCACAACTGGAGGGTGGAGTTGCTACTGGCGTCTAGAACATAGAGGAGCTGGGATGCTGGTAACATCCTACAGTGCCCATGGCAGCCCCCACAGCAAAGGATCATCTGGCCCACAATGTCAGGAGTGCCAAGAGAGGTTCCGAAACGGGTGGATTACCATGCTGGAGTAAAAATGTCCATCAGATACTTTCAGATTGTTGTTTATATTGATTTACATCTGTCTTGTTTTTAGATCATGGAGGAAACTGAAGAAAAAGCTGCAGATCGCCTTCTGTTTAATTTTCTTACACTGATAACTAAACTTATCAAGGAATGTAATATTATTCAGTTTACCAAACCCGCTGAGACTTTGAGTAAAATCTGGAGTAAGTTTTCCTTTTTTATTTAAATCTAAAAACAAATACATTTGTTGTCATAGAATTACTGAAAGTAGATTTGAGAAATTCGAATATGAATACTTCAGAAAGTATACAATGTCAGGAAGAGAGTCCATGAGAAAAAACTTAAAAGGTTATTTCAGAGTGATTACAGTGAAAATGTTCCCTTCTGGAAGAAAAAAAAAACATATCTATGATTTCATAAGTAATACCTTTCATTTATAAAAGAAAGAATATTTATTCTGGGGAAATAAAAGGAAGGGAAAAAATTCTCAAAGTCCTGTTTGGTAGTTAATAATTTCAGATATGTGTCTCTTTTTTTCCTATTTATTTATTTTCCCTCAGGTACAACTGAGAAGTAAAAACTATATATTTATGGTGTACAATGTATTGTTTTGATATATGCACTTGTGGTCTATATTTCCATCCAGTCTTTCTTTTGTTCAATAGGCATAGGGTTTTTTTTGAGAGGTTGCTTAGTTCCATATAAACTTTGATACCCTGTTTGTACCTGAGTAAGCATATTACTATCTATAACACACCTAGTAGATATTTTTTTAAATAGCTATATAGTAGTCCGTTATGTACATATGCCATTATTTACTAAATGGTTTCACAAGTTGTCACACAATTGTGCATCACCTAACAATAGAGATACGTTCTGAGAAATATGTCATTATGCGATTTTGTTGTTTGAACTTCCTAACAGTATACTTAGACAAATCTAGATGGTATAGCCTATTACACCCTTAGACTATGTGGTCCAGCCTATTGCTAAAAACCTGTACAGCATGGACTGTACTGAATACTGTAGGCATTTGTAACACAGGGTCTTTGTGTATCTAAATGTAGCCAGACATAGAAAGGGTACAGTAAAAATACAGTGTGTATTTTTTTTTAATGAGTAGTGCCAAACTGTTTTATAATCTTATGGAACCACTTCTTTTTTTTCTTTTGTTTTTTTTTTCTTCGAGACAAGAGTCTTGCTCTGTCACCCCGACTGGAGGGCGATGGCACAATCTCGGCACGCTACAACCTCCTCTGCCTCCCAGGCTCAAGTGATTCTTCTGCCTTAGCCTCCCAAGTAGCTGGGATTACAGGCACATGCTACCACACCCGGCTAATTTTTGTATTTTTATAGAGATGGGGTTTCACTATATTGGCCAGGCTGGTCTTGAACTCCTGACCTCAGGTGATCCACCTGCCTTGGCCTCCCAAAGTGCTGGGATTACAGGCATGAGCCACTGGGCCTGGCCAGGACCACGACTTATGTGGTCTGTTGTTAAATGAAATAAAGTATTCACCTGGTTTAAGAGCCGGAACTCAGATTTTGTGAGAAATAACAAGGTTACCGTATGACCTACTCAGGTGTGGCTTCATTGCAACATGGCCAGATTATTACAGAGATTCGTATAGATCAAAAGTAAAAATATGGCTATGAAATATAGCAGCAAAGACTGAAACTGAGATATGACATGGTTAATCTATCCTGTTCCCCAACACCCACATTATAAAACTTTTTTTTTTTTTTTGAGACAGAGTCTCGCTCTGTCGCCAGGCTGGAGTGCAGTGGTGCGATCTCAGCTTGCTGCAACCTCTGCCTTCCAAGTTCAAGCGATTCAACTGCCTTAGCCTCCTGAGTAGCTGGGACTGCAGGTGCGTGCCACCACACCCAGCTAATTTTTGTATTTTTAGTAGAGACAGGGTTTCACCATGTTGGCCAGGATGGTCTCCATCTCTTGACCTCCACCTGCCTCGGCCTCCCAACTAGGTGCTAGGATTACAGGCATGAGGCATGCATCCAGCCTAAAACTTTTTTCTTTTCTTTTTCCTTTACACAGAGGGGAGATACAGCAGGGAAGGGGAAGTTCGGGGCTCAGTGGAGTGGTGGTCACTGGGGAGGGGTCACACTCAAGGCCAGTGTTTTTTCGAAGATAATTTTTAGACCATTAGTGTAGTCAGACTTTTAATTTGCTTATTTAGCATGCCCATCTTTCATTATGTGTTTAAGTTCTTTATAAGCATTGGAAAATAAGATTAATACTGTCTGTGCTGCCTCCTAAGAACTTTGTTGATGGTTAAATGAGATCATGTTCATGAAAATGTTAGGGTCTGGGCTGGGCATGGTGGCTTATGCCTGTCATCCCAGCACTTTGGGAGGGTGAGGCTTGCAGATTGCTTGAGCTCAGGAGTTCGAGACCAGCATGGGCAACATGGCAAAACCCCATCTCTACAAAAAATACTTTCTGAGTACGGTGTATGGAGAATGGCCATGTAGCCAAAAATGCTGAAGAATTAAGAGTTGGAAGGTCAGATCAAGCTGGGGCCCAGGCCTGGCTCTGCCTGTTATAGCTTAGCATGTCACACAGCCTCTCTGGAACACTTGTTTCTTCATCTGTAAGATAGAAATTATAATTCCAACATCACAGAATTGTTATGAGATAATACATGTAACACAATTAGCCCTGTCCCTGGCATATAGAAAACCTTCAGTAAGTAGATGATAGCTTTATAGGCAGCTACTTGGAGCCACCAATTCTACTGATTAGAAACAAGCCTATACCTATATACATACTTATATTACCTTAGAAAATGTAAATGTTGGCCAGGCGCGGTGGCTCACACCTGTAATCCCAGCCCTTTGGAAGGCTGAGGCAGGTGGATCGCTTAAGGAGTTTAATACCAGCCTGGCCAACATGATGAAACCCTGTCTCTACTAAAAATACAAAAATTAGCTGGGTGTGGTAGTGAGTGCCTGAGTAACAGTTACTCAGGAGGCTGAGGCAGGGGCATTGCTTGAACCCAGGAGGCAGAGGTTGTAGTGAGCCAAGAGTATACCGCTGCACTCCAGCCTGGGCGATAGGAACGAAACCCTGTCTCAGAAAAATTAAAAAAAAAAAAAAGAAAATGTAACTGTTAATGTCACCTTATCTCCCTTGAATCTGAAACTAGTTCTTATGAAACTAGTCTGTTTGTACCTCAGTAGAGTCATTTAACCACTCTAGGAGTTGGTTTTCTAGTCGTTTCCAGTGCCTCTTCCACCTCACTTCTCTCTAGCTTCTGTGGGCTTTTGGGAAGCAAGGACTATTTGTCTTTTTCTAAATCGATGCATAATTATACCTACTTATGGGGTATCTATGATATTTTGATACATGCATACAATGTCCAGTAATCCAATTGGGGTAACGAGAATATCCTTCCCCTTGAACTTATTATCTTTTTGTGTTGGGAACATTTCAAATCTTCCAGCTATTTTGAAATGTGCAATATATCAGTGTTAACCGTAGTCACCCTACTGTGCTGTCTAACATGAAACTTATTCCTTCTATCTAGTTCTATTTTTGTACACATTAACCAATCTCTTTTCATCTCCTGCCCTCACTTCCCAGCCACTGACCTATTTTGTTCATATTTGGTTCCCCACTCCAAACACATAATACTCTGTAAATGCTTCACTTCGTCATATTTACCTCTAAACAATCAGGAAGGCCATTTGACATCCGTGAATGCTTTTTGGTTTCCTTAGGTCATGTGCACTCTCACCTGAGACATCCACACAACTGGGTGTGGCTCACAGCAGCCCAGATTTTTGGATTACTCTTTGCCTCTTGCCAGCCAGAGGAGCTTATTCAAAAATGGAATACCAAAAAGACTAAAAGAAACCTCCCAGAACCTGTAGCAATCAAGTTCCTAGCCAGTGACCTTGACCAAAAGGTAAGGTTTCTGTCAAACCTTTTCCTTCCCTCGTGACTGTAAGACGTTCCTTCTGGTTCATGTAACTATCTTTGAGCCAGCCCTTGGGAGAAACTCTTCCAACCAACAATTTGTTGTACAGGTGAATCCATAGGAATATTAGTCACTGGAGAGGGGTCACTCTCAAGGCCAGGGTTTTTTCAAAGATAATTTTTAGACCATTAGTGTAGTTAGACTTTTAATTTGCTTATTTAGCATGCCCATCTTCCATTATATGTTTAGGTTATTTATTTATTTATTTTTTTTCCTTTTTTGAGATGGAGTCTCACTCTGTCACCCAGGCTGGAATGCAGTGGTGTGATCTCAGATCACTGCAACCTCCGCCTCCTGAATTCAAGGGATTCTTCTGCCTCAGCCTCCCGAGTACCTGGGATTACAAGCGTGTGCCACCACGCCCAGCTAATGTTTAAGTTCTTTATCAGCATTGGAAAATAAGATTAATACTATCTGTCTTGCCTTCTAATAACCTTGTTGATGATGTAAATGAGATCACGTTCATGAAAATGTCAGGGGCCAAGCCAGGCATGGTGACTCACATCTGTCATCCCAGCACTTTGGGAGGCTGAAGTGAGTAGATCACTTGAGCTGAGTTTGAGACTAGCCTGGGCTACATGGCGAAAACCTATCACTACAAAAAATACAAAAATTAGCTGGGCATGGTGGTGTACGCCTGTAGTCCTAGCTACTTGGGAGGCTGACACAGGGGGATCACCTGAGCCTGGGGAGGTCAAGGTTACAGTGGGCTGTGATCATGCCACTGCACTCCAGCCTGGGCAAGACCGAGATCCTATCTCAAAAAAAGAAAGAAAAGAAAATGTTAGGGGCCATGATATATGTGTCTCTGGTTTCCTAGGTCCTAACACAATTTCTCACTCATAGTGGAACCCCATAAATATTGAATGAGTGGAGGGTAGAAGGGAAGAAAAGAGGAAGAAAAAAATATTGGACTGTTGCAAAGTGCCCTACTAGTAATGTAGAGGATTGGCCGGGTGCAGTGGCTCACATCTGTAATCCCAGCACTTTGGGAGGCCAAGGTGGGTGGATCAGCTGAGGTCAGGAGTTCGAGACCAGCCTGGCCAACATGGCGAAACCTCATCTCTACTAAAAATACAAAAAATTAGCCAACTGTAGTGGTAGACGCCTGTAATCCCAGCTACTTGGGAGGCTGAGGCAGGAGGATTGCTTGAACCCAGGAGACAGAGGTTGCAGTGAGCCAAGATCACTCCACTGCAGTCCAGCCCAGGCCACAGAGTGAGACTCTAAAAAAAAAAAAAAATGTAGAGGATTATTACCTGTTTCTCCCCAGACTGTGAAACTATCCCATTTATTTAGGATGAAATGCTTAGGGCAGGTAGAAGGGAGCAGTTACACAATTTCTGGTCATGAACTTTTCCTCTCCAAATCTATACAGGTGGTCATTCAGAGCAAAATCCAGTACGTTAGTTGTATTACAGTTATTATGTTTAGTATTTTAAAAACAATCAGAAATGTCCTATGTCTGTCTTGTCTACCAATGTCCATTTTCTTTTCACAGATGAAAAGTATCTCTCTCGCCTCTTGCCATCAATTGCATTCCAAATTCTTGGATCAGTCTCTAGGAGAACAGGTAAGAATTGTAGTTCTCCTAGTTTAAAAGAACGGGCCAGCTGGGCACCGTGGCCCGCACCTGTAATCCCAGCACTTTGGGAGGCCGGGGCAGCCAGATCACCTGAGGTCGGGAGTTCGAGATGAGCCTGGCCAACATGGCGAAACCCCATCTCTACTAAAAATACAAAAAAATTAGCCAGGCATGGGTGGCAGGTGCTTGTAATCCCAGCTACTCGGGAGGCTGAGGCAGGGAGAATTGCTTGAACGTGGGAGGCAGAGGTTGCAGTGAGCCGACATCACGCCACTGCACTCCAGCCTAGGTGACAGAGCGAGACTCTGTCTCAAAAAGAAAGAAGGGGCCTATTCTATCAACAGTCTAGGAATAGGCTTACATTTGTTATTTTGTTTTGTTTTGAACCTATATTAATGCTTGGGGGTTAGATGAAATACAGACATACACTCATATATATGTTCAAATACACATATGTCTTGTCAACTCTGGGTCTGTGTTGGGATTACTCTTTTCTCCATTTAAAATTCCCAAATAGGGGTCTGGGTGCGGTGACTCATGCCTGTAATCCCAGCACTTTGGGAGGCCAAGGCAAGTGGATCACTTGAGGCCAGGAGTTCAAGACCATCTTGGCCAACATGGTGAAACCTCATCTCTACTAAAAAGACAAAAATTAGCTGGGCATGGTGACACATGCCTGTAGTCCCAGCTACACGGGAGGCTGAGGCAGGAGAATCTCTTGAACTGGGGAGGTAGAGGTTGCAGTAAGCTGAAATCTCCACACTGCACTTCAGCCTGGCAACAGAGCTAGACTCCGTATCAAAAAAAAAAGAGAGAGAGAGAGAAATAGTTATTTCCACGTAGAATGGCTGAAGGAATTTAATGGAGGTAGAGGTGAAAGCTGTCATTAAAAATGTAAAATGGGGCTGGCATGGTGACTTACACCTGTAACATTAGCACTTTGGGAGGCCGAGATGAACAGATATCTTGAGGCCAGGAGTTCAAGACCAGCCTGGCCAACATAGCAAAACCCAGTCTCTACTAAAAATACAAAAATGAGCTGAGCGTGGTGGCCTGTAGTCCCAGTTGCTGGGGTGGCTGAGGCATGAAAATCGCTTGAACCCAGAGGCAGAGGTTTCATTGAGCCGAGATCGCACCACTGCACTCCAGCCTGGGTGACAAAGTGAGACTCTGTCTCAAAAAATACCAAAAAAACAGAACAAAACAAAAAATGTAAATGGAGGGCTTGGAAGGAAATTGTTTACTTATTCTTTGTGACTTTAAAGGGTAGAACTAGTCCACATAGATCAAAGTTACATGGAAATAGGTTTGGATGCCCTATGAGGGAGAACTTAAGAATGATCTAGGCCAGGCGCAGTGGCTCACACCTGTAATCCCAGCACTTTGGGAGCCTGAGGCGGGCGAATCACCTAAGGTCAGGAATTTGAGACCAGCCTGGCCAACATGGCAAAACCCCATCTCTACTAAAAATACAAAAATTAGCTGGACATGGTGGCGCATGCCTGTAATCCCAGCTACTTGGGAGGCTGAGGCGCGAGAATCACTTAAACCTGGGAGGGGGAGGTCACAGTGAGTGGAGATTGCGCCACTGCCCTCAGCCTGGGTGACAAAGTAAGACTCTGTCTTTTAAAAAAAAAAAAAAGTGGGGGGGGGCATGATCTAAAAATGGAGGCATCATCATTTAATAGTTTTTAAATAGTTGTAATGCCTAGATTGTTTTTGTTTTCTAATTGTAGAATACCTATTTTAGCTTATGCTCTACTAAGCCTTATTTATTTCAAAATCAATGTCCAGTTTCTTCCCCCACCCCGTTTTTTTTAAAGGTTGTTAAGAATTTGTTGTTCATAGCCAAAGTCTTGTATTTACTGGAACCTTATTGTGAGGATAAGCAAAGTAAGATAAAAGAAGACCTGGAAGAACAAGAAGCTTTAGGAGATGGCGTGGCCTGTGCAGATGAGAAGGCAGAGTCTGACGGAGAAGAGAAGGAAGAGGTGAAGGAAGAGCTTGGCAGGCCGGCCATGCTGCTGTGGTTGATCCAGAAGCTGTCCCGGATCGCAAAACTGGAAGCTGCTTATTCACCGAGAAACCTCTTAAAGGTGCGATGAATGCACAGAATGACTGAGAGTAGTCATTTCTCTTTAAAAAGTATTTTAACGGTATTAGTGATCCTAAGTCCCTAGAAACTTTACCTTTGAACCCTAAACTGCAGCAATAACATCCATCCCAAAATAGACTGAGCCCTGTTTTCTAAATTAATGCTGTGTCTATGATTGAGTGCTAAAGATAAATATTTCAAATGAAAAAAAATGATCTGTATTTTCAGAGAACATGCATCTTTAAGTTCCTCGGTGCTGTAGCAATGGATCTTGGGATAGACAAGGTAAAGCCATATCTCCCAATGATCATAGCTCCTTTGTTTCGAGAACTGAACAGCACCTACTCAGAGCAAGGTAACCCTGCCTCGTCTGTTCTCCTGCCTTTTGCAGGATTTCTAACTTCTCTCCTGAATGTTTCCTTCTTCCTTTCTGTCCTCCCTCCCTGCCAGAGATTTATTTTTATTTTTATATATTTTTTAATTATATATTATATACTTGTATATGTTTATATTTTTATATACACACACACACACAAATTAAAAAAGAGAGAGAGATGAATAGTGGTCTCACTATGTCATGCCAGGCTGGTTTTGGTCTCAAACTCCTGGCCTCAAGCAGTTTTCCAACCTCAGCCTCCCAAAGTGTTGAGACTACAGAAGTGAGCTACCATACCCAGCCAGAGTTTATTTTTAAAAAGAAAACTTATGAGATATCAAGATAATTAACAAACAAATAGGCATATTTGTATTATATTTGATTGCCCTCTTCTGTATGCTTTCTGCTGTCCCAGAAAGAATGTTTCTCACATAAAAGATGGTGCTTTATCCTTAACATAGATTAAATAGTCAAAGAAAACTATGGTTCAGGGTGGTTTTAAACCTCATAGCACAATGAATAATAATGAACAATAAAATGTCATTACATTCTCATCTTAAAAATTGTGGGCTGGGCGTAGTGGCCCACGCCTGTAATCCCGCACTGTGGGAAGCCAAGGTGGGAGGATCACTTGAGCCCAGAAGTTCAAGACCAGCCTGGGCAACATGGCAAAACCCCATCTCTACAAAAGATACAAAAATTAGCTGGGTATGGTGGTGTGCACCTGTAATTGCAGCTACTCAGGAGGCTGAGGTGGGAGGATCTCTTGAGGCTGTGAGGTCAAGGCTTCAGTGAGCCGTGATTGCACCACTGCACTCCTGCCTGGGCAACAGAGTGAGACACTGTCTCAAAAAAAAAAAAAAAAAAAAAAAAAAAAAATTATAAGGCAAAAATATAAGTATTATCATTTTTATATGAAATAGTTTTAAAATATCATTTTAACATTTCTTCTTTTTCCTTGCCTGATACATTTCCCTCACTTATTGTAATTGTTGGTAATAACAGGTAAAGAGGGAATTGGAGGCTGGAAGGAGAGGAGGTAAAGTGAATGTTCAGAGTTTAAAAATAAAACAAATGAAGCAAATGTCAAAGCAAGAGCTGTTATAGTCCTACAACCTTGAGAGAAAGTTTCCTCACTCTTCGAAAGGAAAAAGCAATGGTAAAGGTTGAGGCTGCTGACAAAATCAGGTTCAGGTGTGCTTTGGTTCAAGTCAGCCAACATTTAATGAGCACCTAATATCTGCCAGGCACTAGGGATTCAACAGCAGGAAAGTTTTCAAGAAGCTTGTGATCTAGAACAGATGTCCTGAACTCCTGTGAAATTGAAATTGGGGGTGAGTGGCAGAGAAGGGTGGGAGATACAGCTTTTTTGTCAACTGCACAAAGGAGGCTTTGACATCCCCCGCACCCCCAAAAAAAAGGTTACTGTGGGCAGAGCTAAGCCTCTGTGATCCATCATGGATTAGAGAGGGAATCTCTTACTTTTCCCCCTATCTGCAAGAGCTCAGCAGGTAAACAGAGGTAATTCAAAACGTTTCTGTCAAGGTCCCAAGTTACTTTAATGTCTTCAGGGCCAGCTTTCCGCTGGGAAGTGGGCCTCGTGTTCTCTGATTTCTTGTTGCATCCTGGGTGAGGTGGTGGCTGGAGTGCTGTGTCTAGCATTGCTGGTTTCCCCATCCCAGGAACATAGAGGCTAGTTTTATATCAGTGTTTAATGTTGAAGTAATGGTGATAATGCTGCAAGAGTTTAAATTATTTTTGTTGTTTTATTTGGTTTCTTGCCAGATCAATAGCTGGATATAAATGTTGCACATATTGTTGATTCTGTTGATTCTGTTGATTCTGTTGATGTTCAAATGTGTCCTTTCCTGTCTTTACTCTGATCATTACTCTTTGTGTGTGATTAGATCCTTTGCTGAAGAATCTATCCCAGGAAATCATAGAATTACTCAAAAAGCTGGTTGGGCTTGAGAGCTTCTCATTAGCCTTTGCCTCTGTACAGAAACAGGCTAATGAGAAAAGGGCACTCCGGAAAAAGAGGAAGGCCCTGGAGGTAAGTTTGCTCTTTGAAAATATGGCATGTTCACTGGACTTGATAACTACTAAGTGTGCGTGTTTGTGTCACACACTCAGGGAGGATCAAGGGTTTGAGTGGTTGGGGAAAATTTATAGCTGGGGCTTCAGATTTTCTTTAATGAGCATGTGTTTTTTACATTTATGTCTGTATTTGATTCTTATTGGTTTAACATTTACTTTAAAAGTAATATAAAATTTCTATTCTCTTTTCCAGTTTGTGACTAATCCTGATATTGCTGCCAAGAAAAAAATGAAGAAACACAAAAATAAAAGTGAAGCAAAGAAGAGAAAGATAGAGTTCCTGCGTCCAGGCTATAAGGCCAAGAGACAAAAAAGTCACAGCCTGAAAGATTTAGCAATGGTGGAATAATGTCTCCCTGTGCTGATACAAGCATGAACTTTCTGGAATATTCTTCTAGTCTGAAATTACAGCAGGCTGGTGGGGGGTTTTTTTTCAAGACAAGGTCTCACTCTGTCACCCAGGGTGGAGTGCAGTGATGAGATCACAGCTCACCGCAGCCTCCACCTGGGTTCAAGTGGTCCTATCACCTCAGCCTCCCAAGTAGCTGTGGCCCCCAGGCACACACCACTATGCCCGGCAAATTTTTTGTATTTTTATAGAAACAGGATTTCGCCATGTTGGCCAGGCTAGTCTTGAACACCTGGGCTCAACTGATCCACCTGCCTCGGCCTCCCAAAGTGCTGGGATTACAGGTGTGAGCCACCGTGCCCAACCAGGTTTTAATTTAAGTTAAACTTGGGATAGGTTGTATAATATATAGTTTAATGTAATCATGCTCATATTTTTTAAATAAACAAAACACTTTATACTACTACTGGGTCTTCACTGTCTAAAAAGCATGTGACACCAAAGAGTTTAAAATATAATTTGTAAATAAAAAGATAAATTTTTAAATAGCAAGAAAAAATGTAGAAGTTAGCAATAATCAGACAAAAGATTTACAAATACTGCTATATAGTACATTCTAAAATTTTAGGAAAAGGCAGTAAGAAAGATCTGCACAAATAGAGAACTATAACCATGTTCATGGCTAGGAAGATTCAGGACCATAAAATGCTACTTTTTCCCAAGTTGATCCCTTTGGTTAAGTGTGTATCTAAGCAAAATCCCAAGAGTTCTTCACGTTAACCCAACAAGCTGATCCTAAAAATTATATGGAAGATATTAAGTCGAGAATAACCATGACACTCTTACAAAAGTAGAACAGGATGAGGGGCTTGCCCTTTTGGATATCAAAAGTAAGACACAAAAACTATCTATAGAGAGAATGTGTAGTAAATCGTACTTCATTAAGAACTTCTACTTAGGAAAAGACACCAACTGGGACATGGCACACAACACATACTGTTAAACAATTAGTAGTACCAGGACACACAATGCATATTGATGAATCCACACAGACAATCTAGTGGAAAAAGTGGCAAAAGAGAGAAATGAGCATTGCACAAAAGGAGAAACATAAATGGTCCTTAAACACTGTTAGCTGATATGGCTGTGCCATTTTTTTTTTTAAGTATTATGGACTGCTTGGTAAGTAGTTGTAACATTGAGACCCCCAAGTGCTACCCTGGCTACATGAAGTTGTTAGATTACATACCTTCTCACACCAGAAGTTAAAGAATACCTGGACTAGTCGGAGTCCTACTGTACTAGCTATGGCTAGTTGTTAAATGTTTGAGTCACTCCTGTATTCAGCCTCATCAGTAATTAGGAAAATACCAATTATCACCAGAATGAGATTCCATTTTGAAACCATCAGAATGATAAAGCTGACAATACTAAGTGCTGGCAAGCATGGTGGAGCCATAGGAAATCTTATAAATCACTTGGGAAAGCAGTTTGACATTATCTTGTAAACCTGAAGACGGTTATACTCCCTGATCCCGAGTTCCACTCCTAGAGAAACCATGAACCATGGATCTGAAGAATGTTCATGAACCATTGCTAAAAGTCAAGAACTAGAAGCAATCCAAATGTCCTTCCACAAGAGAATAAATAAAATGGTATATTCATATACTGAAATACAGTAGCATAAATCAGCTAATTACATATATATCAATAAAGATGATATTCTAGAAACAATGTTGAGTGGGGGGAAAAGAAAAATAGTTGAATACCACTGTAATAAAATTGTGTGTACATATATGATAAATCTGTAGAAAAAAATTAACGATTTCAAAGTTGCAGGATAGAGGGTACTTGTGCGAAGGAACAGAATCAAGGGAGAAGCACACGGTGGGGTTGGGGGACTTAAACTGTCCTCATAATGTTCAATGTCTTACATTTGGTGCCAGATTTCCAAGTTTATAATGCTTCATTACATTATTTTCTGTACATAAAATATTTCCTGATAAAAACATTTTCTAATGTTTGGCCAAAACCACATTTGTACTAAGTTATTAGTACAAAGAAAACAAGTGGTTTCTTTGAAACTTTACTTTTAAGGTTTACTATTTACAACTAAAATGGTAATAAGCCATGCTTATTTAGAGGTGGCTAAAGTTGTTTCTGTTGTTCAACCGTATAGCATCTTTTGCCTCACTCTATACTTGGTGTGGAAGAAATATTCTTTAGTGCCCCACATACTTGGGGACATATGGAGTGGGAAATCCACCCTATGTGCCAGGCACTTTGGATACATTTTGTTTAATCCTAGTATTCCTGGGAGATTCCTACAATTGGTTCCTATTTTACAGATGAAGAAAGTGAGACTCAGAGTAAACAACTTGCCTAAGGGTGATACAGGATGTAGGTGGTATAATCAAGATTCAAAGTCCATGCTTTGAACTGGGCGCGGTGGCTAACACCTGTAATCCCAGCACTTTGGGAGGCCAAGGCAGGTGGATCACTTGAGGTAAGGAGTTCGAGACCAGCCTGGCCAACGTGATGAAACCGTCTCTACTAAAAGTACACAAATTAGCCGGGCGTGGGGGCACAACACCTGTAGTCCCAGTCACTCGGGAGGCTGAGCCAGGAGAATCGCTTGCACCTGGGAGGCAGAGGTTGCAGTGAGCCGATATCGTGCCACCACACTCCAGCCTGGGCGACAGTGAGACTCCATCTCAAAAAAAAAAAAAGTCCATGCTTTATAATTTGTAATTATGGGCTAAGAATGAGATAGCATGTGGCATAGGAATCAAATGTTCATTCACTTAAGCACCTGTGCTTTGATGTAGTGTGTATCTCAAACAGGCGTTCTCACCCTTCTAAGGGCTTCGTAATGTGTCAGAAGGAGGCCATCTTAGAAGACTGACTTTAATTCATCCTAAGTGACCTAAAGTAAATGCATGTATTGCTTTCGTAAAATTTTTAAAAATAAAACAAAATACTAAGGCAAAGATCAGAAAGAACAAATATATCTGGGATATTGAAGACGTCTTTGTTTTTAATCAATAAATATTTATTGAGTGCCTACTGTGTGCCAGGTGCACCACACTAGATGCAAGGGATACTAACAGTAAATAAGATACGGTCCCAGCCCTCAGAGCTTACATTTCAACAGTGTAAAATGCATCTCAGGTATTTCAGATAACAGAAGTAATTCTACCACTCTCAATTTTTTTTTTTTTTTGTAGCAAGATACAACACAACCATAGGCCAGAAATAGCATGTCAGAAAGAAACATTTGGTATCATTTTTCCAGGTCCCATTTTACAGAAAAGAAACTGCAGGACTGGCCACTTGCACCTATGTTCTAATTTCAAGTTTGGTGCTTTTCCCATTGCCAGGCCTCTCATAAAACAATATTCAGATTTGCCATGTAAATATCAATATCCAAACACTGGTAGCATACCTGTGCAGTTGTCTCCTGCTAGACAAGGACCATATAATTTACGGCTTGTTTAAGTGTCCACTCTCTTTATCCCACCCTATTCTTTGTGATAAACCAGAGGGATGAGGCTTAATCAAGTGCTGACCTTTGGGGCAAGTTCATGCCCTGGGATTCAAGATGGCTACATGCCAGGTCTGCCTGCCAGGACCTTACTTCCCATTTTCTGCAGTTTTCCTGAACTGCCAGGAGGCAGCTGTACAAGCTTTACAAGCCTCAGGCTGTAAGTGAACTTGTTTTCTGTATTTTCCAGCCATGTGCCACTGACCAGAAATGAACTCAACTATAAATTGCAAAGGGGCTACTTGTCAAGATGACAAATATCTATCGTACTATTTCAACTATGAACATACTTCTGAAATGCCATATGCCAGGCACCACACCAGATACTAGGGACATAAATATGAAAAAGTCTCTGCCCCTCAGGAGTAATACTGGTTGTACTGCAACACTTGTAGCTGAAAGAAAATCTCCAAAAAAGATTTCAGAGACTAAAGTAGGGATGGGTGCTGGAGAATGAGCAAGAAGGGTGAGAGTCCCGCAGGTGAAGGGAGAAAGCTGCAGAGAACGAATATAAGCCTGGAGAATGAACATAAATGTGAGGGGAAGAGGTCAGAGGCCAACACTGGAAGCACAGTGAAGGCCAAGAAAGGTACTACTAATGTTTCCGAGACCTGCGGGGATCCATGGTATTAAGCTCTCAATACCAGCACCTAATTTCTTAAACGCTGGTTTTCCAATTTAAGTGAAAGAAATTCACCCGTTTTTAGCAATTAATGAAGCACTATATTTACTTCTGTCACATTAGTTAATTCTGAGGTGGACTGGGTAATTTGAAAAGCTCCTTTGAACATGAATTGTTTTTAAACTTACAATCTAGCAATAAGCCTAATTTTTAAACCAGAATGCTTCATTTCCCCCTGTATAATCAGTAAGATTTTGATTTTTAACAAGTTTACATGTTTGAGTGTAACAAGTTTACATTCAAAAAAGACCAAATATTGGACATGGTAGATAAAAGGAATGAAAACCAGTAAAGACACCTTTTATAACCTGAAAATAGATTTTTAAACCTTCCTTTCCTTTAATGTGAAATTTTCTCTTTAATGTGTTATGAATTCCATCAAATATAACCATTTAGGATTATTTATAGTATGTCACTGATCACTTCTACTAGTATAGACAAATAAGTTTATAGACATTATTTTGAATGTAACTGCTTTAATTAGCATAATTTTATTAAAGAGTTAGACTGTGTTGTCAATACTGACATTTTTGGGAATATATAGTATAGTTTATAAGTCAGGCTTCTGAACCAAAAGTTTTACTTTGAGCCTTATTCCCACCTTACTAGCTAGCAGGTGACCTTGGGCAAGCCAACCTGGGTCCATGTCCATACAGTGAAGACATCATAACCTGTCCTACCTACTTCACAAGCTTCCTGTACAGATCAGCTAAGTCGACATAAGATTTTTTTTTGACAACTGTAAAGTACTATAAAATGACAATTGCAGATAAGTCAATGAAGTTAACCATCAAAATAATATTCATGCCTAGAACCAAAAGCTTTTAAACAAAACAGCTTAATAAAAAGTGGTCAGATAAGCAAATAAAGATTATATTATACACACTATGTTCCTCACCTACTCTACTGAGTCTAATCTTTGGAAAGATAATTCATTTTAAGGGGGAAAAAATCTGTTAAGATATTTTTTAGTATTTATACAAACAAGCTGCAACTACTATTCAAAAATAGGTTTTTTCATCCAATAGGAGTACATTCTTTAATAGAACTGTATTTGAATAAGAATTCCATACAAATAGAATATATACCTTAACACAAGAAAGCAAGAAAAGAATATTTTACATTACATAGAACATTGAGGTGATTCGATCGAATTATCCCTCCAACCAAATATTTCTTTTCCCTATTTACCACAAACATTGCAGTCAGTCAGTATATGCCAACAATCATATAGTTTTAACATCTAGTAGTGTGAAGTACACTTGTCTGTTTCCAAAGGGTGATGTAGTCTTCGTTTCAGGGGAGAAGAACGGACTGAATTACTGTCTGCTTTTTAATGTTTCAACTAACCTGTAAAGAGAAAATGAACTGTTTTATAAAATTAACTTTCAGGCATAAAGCATGATCATCTATAATAAACTTTGTATTAGAGGTGGATTCCAAAGTACTTAAAATAAACACAGCTAACATAGATGAGGTTATGCACTACATTTCCATAAGGTTCCTTTAAGCTTTGAATTTGTCTATGATTTGAATGAAAAATTCAAAAAAGACCAAATATCTATTTTCCAGGCTACTACTACTTCTGGGCTACATATGGATGACTCAGAGGTGAAACTAGTCTCAGTCCTCAAGGAGGTGATTATCTAATGAGTAGATGAACAAATCAAACAATTACAAGACAGCATAACAAGTACTATGTCACTAATCTGTGACAAGGGCATCTAACTTTAGGTGAGTGGTTAGGCAGTAGGAATAGAGATACATTAGGAAAAGCTCTTCAGAAGACAGCCTGAAGCTAATTCCTGAAGGATAAGGAATTGGAGGGTGAGGTGAGGCAAGGAAAAGGCTAAAAATTGGCAAAGAATTGTAACTGTCATCAGGTAGGTGTGGTTGAGAAGACGGATGCACCTGAAGACCAGTGGGAGAAAAGGCTGGAGGAACTTATGAAATAAACTGCTAAATAAATCAAAGTTTCATCCTCAACACTGGAGAAAAATTACACGTGGACGTGCATAGCTGCAAGCACACAGAAATGCACAGATAGCTTCTGGAAACATGATACTTGCCATTCCATTGCCTCATCAAGGCCAGTGCCTTTGGTTGCTGATGTTTTGAATATTTGCCATTTTCGGTCCTTCAAGGCAGGTAACCCAAGTGAATTTGCCATCTCTGAGGAAGTCATGGCCTGTTCCATGTCCTGTTTATTTGCAAACACCACTAAAATGGCTTTTCTCAGCTCTTCTTCCTAAATGAAATTGAAAATATTTAATTTCCTTTAACCAATGTGCTCTCTCGAATTTAGAAAATGTCCAAAAATACATTTTAAAAGTGTATTTTATAATTATTAACATATTCATTATACATTATGAAATTATAGAGAATTATAAAGAAAAGAAGCTTCACCCATAATCCTACCTCCCAAATATGATCACTGTTAACATTTTGGGCGTTTTCTACTAGTACTTTGTTTTGCAGATACTTAAGAGCTTATTTAGTAAATACATTTACACATTTAAGATGAGATTTATATATAGTTCTATACCCTGCCTAAAAATTAAAAATTAAAATCATGTTTCTCCAAACTATAACAATTTTTTCAAAATAAAAAAATGGCTAAATATGCTCTACACTATGGATGCAGCCACCATAAACTGTGTTAACTATTTTCTAGTATTAGACTCTTATTAGATTCTTTCCACTGCACTATTAGATAAACCCAAGTGACAGGGTCTTTATACAAAAATGTTTGTTTGAATCTGCTTTCTTAACACAATATTCTAAAAATGGAGTTAAAGTATAAACAGCTTTTTTCAGGCTTTGATAAACTGAACACATGCATGAACAGCTTTCCAGAAAGGTTACCCTACCAACAGTGTATAAAAGTCTCCATCTTCAATGCAGCTTTTGCAGAGTTGGGAATTATTTACTTTTCCAAACACAGCATCTCATTATATATTATTAGGGTATTCGAAATGCAAATGGGTTGAGGCAGGAGAATCGCTTGAGTCCAGGAGTTTGAGACCAGCCTGAGCAACACACGGGTCTCTACAAAAATTTTTTTTAAAAAATGAACAAAAAAGGAAGCAGAGTCAGGAGCTCAAGGGTTATAATAAGCTTTGGTTGCGCCACTGCATGCCAGCCTAGGGGACAAAGGGAGACGCCCTTATTTTTTTTTTTGTTTTTGTTTTTGAGACGGAGTCTCCCTCTGTCGCCCAGGCTGGAGTTGCAGTGGTGCAATCTTGGCTCACTGCAGCCTCCGCACCCCGGGTTCAAGCAATTCTCCTGCCTCAGCCTCCTGAGTAGCTGGGACTTCAGGCTCCTGTCACCACACCCGGCTAATTTTTCTATTTTTAGTAGAGATGAGGTTTCACCATGTTGGTCAGGCTAGTCTCGAACTCCTGACCTCGTGATCCGCCTGCCTCAGCCTCCCAAAGTGCTGGGATTACAGGCATAAGCCACCACACCCTGCTGACCCTGTCTCTTTAAAAGCAAATACAAATGTTATTAGCAATGTTTTCCCCCTATGAACTGCCTTTTGCTCATTTTGCAAAAGATCTTGCTATGATTAAGATCACTAATCCTTAGTCATTGGTTTCTGGTTAGGCCTGGTTTCTTATCTTAATCTTGTTTATATTTGCCATATCTGAGCTTTGGGGGGGACTGTTTACGTTAATTAAATCTCATCTTTTGAATTCCTTATATGTTCTTATAATTTTCATTTTTTACATTTAATTATTTACCCATTTAGAATACATTTTTGTGTATAAGAAAGTTGAAAGGCCAGGCACAGTAGCCAGGCACAGTGGCTCTCACACACCTCACACTTTGGGAGGCCGAGGTGGGTGGATCACCAGGTCAGGAGTTCAAGACCAGCCTGACCAACATGATGAAACCCCGTCTCTACTAAAATTACAAAAATTAGCCAGGTGTGGTGGTGCATGCTTGCAATCCCAGCTACTCAGGAGGCTGAGGCAGGAGAATTGCTTGAACCCAGGATACGGAGGCTGCAGTGAGCCAAGATTGCGCCACTGCACTCCAG